CGTCAGCTAAACAATGCCAGCTGGTGGGCCCACGGGGAAGAGCCTTCTCTGTGGCTGCCCCAGTTCTCTGGAACCAGTTACCTCCTGAGGTCCGGACCATCCCCACCCTATTGGCCTCCCGAAAAGTGGTGAAGACCTTGCTTTTCTGGCATGCCTGGGGCCGTTGATCTCGCTCTTGTGATCTGGCAAGATCTGACCATGAATGGCGTGAATGAGTTTTTAATATTCTTAATGTTTTTAATTTTTAAATATTTTTTATAATGATTTTTTTAAATGTATTGTGAGCTGCCCTGAGTATTCGGAGGGGGGCGGCATATAAATTGAATTAATTAAATTAAATTAAAATTAAATCACTCTGCCTCCATATTTTCTTCTTTTGTGTTCCTCTGGATTTTCCCTTCCCTTTGTAGTATAGCATCTCAGCTATACTACAATTCCCCATCACTAAAGAGATGTAATGTTTTATACATTTGAGCTTATATTTAAGTGTGCTTATTCCAAAAGCCAATTCTAGGAGATTCACAATATCCAACAATCAACAAAATTTAAAAAATAACGCAGTACATTGTCAATAAATCACATCCCTTCAATAAATCTATTGCATATACAGAAACATATGTACTAAGTCTCTCAGATACAGAATGTCTAAAGCATACCTTTATTTTCCAAAGCCCCAGAAGGTAAAATAAGAAACAATGGATGGAAACTAGCCAAGGACAGAAGCAACCTAGAACTAGGGAGAAATTTCCTGACAATGAATCCAATCAACCAGTGGAACAATTTGCCTCCAGAAGTTGTGGATCATCCAATACTGGAAGCTTTTAAGAAGAGATTGGACAACCATTTATTTGAAATGTTATAGGGCCTCTTCCCAAAACATGGTGTTGGAATAGAAGATCTCCAAGATCCCTTCCATCTCTGATGATGAAGTCTCTCAGATTTCCAAGTGTTTAACAAACTTCCAATGTTAAAGCACCCACAATTTTTAGAGCCAGGTTGTTCACTGATTAATTGTTCCGACTGACAAGAGATTTTGCTTTAGTTCTAGGTTGCTTCTCTCCTTGATTAATTTCCATCCTTTGCTTCTTGTCCGGCCTTCAGGTGCTTTAAGGAATAGGGTGACCCCCTGGTCTTTGTGGCCGCTCCTTAGATATTAAAACACTGCTATCATGTCACCCCCATTCCTTCTTTTCATTAAACATTTCAGTGACTGAGTACATTCATTAAGAATGTTTTTTCTGGGAAAATTTACTCCAAGAATTCATATGATTTCATTTGTCTGAATGTTGATCTGCTGTATGGAACAGAAATGCCCTGTCAGAATCAGTTTCCTGTTTTTGTTCAGAAGAGAAAGCAGAATCAGTCAATGTGTATCTCTGGCACAATAATACACGGCAGTGTCAGAGGCTGACATGGAGTTCAACTGAAGGGAATATTCATTCTTGGAGTTGTCTGAAGCAATGGTGGTGCGGCTTTGAAGAGAAGATGAGTACCATTTTCTGCCATCATAAGGGTAGATGCTGGCTATCCATTCTAAGCCTTTCCCTGGAGGCTGACGGATCCAGCCCCAAAGATAGCTGCTACTCGTGATGGAGACACCAGTAACTTTACAGACCAAGTTGAGATTTTGCCCCGGTCTTACAGTTCCTGGCCCCGATGACACAAGTTGCACCTCAGAAAGTGACCCTAAAGAAGTAAAAAACAAAAAAATAATCAGGATTCCAAGCCTCTGAAAAATAAAAAGTCACAGTTGCTTTCTCTAAAATTGTGTTCTTACATTTTGGCATGGCTATCAGGGAAAAGAACCACAGCAAGAAATTCATAGTCTCTTTTTCAAGTCTTTTTCCTCCAGTGTGACATGTACAATTTGAAGGAAATGTAAAGATTTAAAATGAGGACCCTCTTATAAAGAGGAAGATTTCATGATGATATTTGCATATTCTTAGTGAGGTATAAAGATGGTGTTATAAAGCCAGGTTCAGTGGAAGTTTGTATTCAATAAGAGGATGTAAATAAAGTCTATGTTTTTCCTTCCTTCCTTCCTTCCTTCCTTCCTTCCTTCCTTCCTTCCTTCCTTCCTTCCTTCCTCCCTCCCTCCCTCCCTCCCTCCCTTCCAAAATTCACAAACCAGCCCTATTGCCTGTTAGAAAAGTAAGATTTTCACAACCATATGTCAGCCTAATCAAGATCTTTGGGCAAATTTCCCAATATTCATTAGGACAAGTTTCCCTTTGAGACCACAATCATACCTTCTCAGAGAAAAAAGTCTTATTTCCCTTATTGGACTTCCTCTTTGAATTCTGCTGTTTCATTGGCACTTAGCTATTCAGAGAGAAATATTCAGAAAATATAACTACTGTAGGCAAACAGGTGGGAAGTATTTTTTTTCTGAGGTTTTTGCTCTCTTGACCTGTGACGTTTCCTCAAACGTCTCAGAATTATGGCAAGTCCAGATAACCATGGCTTGATTATAGACTGACGTTCTTGAGCTATTCACAACAGCATAGCAATGGCCTCTGTTCTAATACAGACAATTAAACTGAGGGACAAAGATTTCAAGGAAAAAAAATCTTACAAAAGTAATTAATTGCATTCAAGGTTGGCTTGTACACTGGACAATGCATATCTCAGGTCGCATGTAATCCCTGAGGGACAGCTACAACTAGTGAAAATCCATCTTCTCCAGTTATGGTTACCTCTGTCTCTTGCATTCACGTCCCTCTTGGACTTTCAAAAAGAGAATTATCTACATTTAACATACTGTATGTAAAGAGCTGAGAGAAGGGAACTAAGGAGAGGTTTCCTGACAATGAATACAATCAACCAGTGGAACATTTGCCTCCATAAATTGTGGATGCTCTAATACTGGAAGCTTTTAAGAAGAGATTGGACAACCATTTGTCTGAAATGGTATAGGGCGTTGGACTAGAAGATATCCAAGATCCCTTCCATGTCTGATGATGAAGTGTCTCAGAAGGACTTAGACAGTCTTTTATAGATAACCTTCTCTTTCCTTTGATATATGGTGGAAATGAAAAGCAATGGAAGATATTAGTTTGAGGAATAGCTCCTATTGCAATTGCTCTCTAAATTATGTGGTTTTGTTGGCACATACTGTAGGTTCATAAATCTTAACTAGTAGCGGAAAACAGGTAGGATGTTGCTACTCCTGATATTTCACTCTCTTTGCACATGACACGTGACTAGTTTCCTCAGATATCCCAAAATTTACTTTGTGTCTGTGTAAAAAAAGCTTGACTATATTTCTTAACTGTACTACTGATATCCTTGATTTATTCACAGCAGAACAGCAATTGCCTCAGTTCTAAATTGAAGGACAAAGATTTCAAAGAAAGGATCTTACAAAGATCTCAGAATGTACTATGGATGGTTTCTACCACTGTTCTTAATTGCTATAACAATTTTAGTCTCCCGACCACTAAAGCGCATCAAGTTGTTCGATTTTCCATTACTTCCATAATTCCCCAGAGTTCTAATTAATAATCTTCTGCCTTCTTTAGGTAAGCAATGAAAATGAAAAGTAATTGAAAATTTTAGTTTGGGGATTGCTGGAAAAATGAGGTTTGGGGTGAGAGGGGTAAGGGAGAAATGCTGGATAAACAAAATTAAACTTAAATTGAAGCAAAGAGGGATCAATCAATTACAGTAGAGCTGCCAGGGACCTTGAAGGTCTCCTAGTCCAACACCGTGCTCAAGCAGGAGACCTTATACCATTCCAGATAGGTGGCTGTCCAGTGTTTTCTTGAAAACCTTGCATTCTATTATAATAGAATAATAGAATAACAGAGTTGCAAAAGACCTTGGAGATCTTCTAGTCCAACCCTCTACTCAAGCAGGAGACCCTACAGAATTTCAGACAAATGGTTGTCCAATCTCTTCTTTAAAACCTCCAGTGTTGAATCACCCACAATTTTTGGAACCACGTTATCCCACTAATTAATTGTTCCAACTGTTAACAGATTTCTCTTTAGTTCTAGGTTGGTTCTCTCTTTGATTAGTTTCCATCCATTGCTTCTTGTCCGGCCTTCAGGTGCTTTGAAGGATAGGGTGACCCCCCCCGATCTTTGTGGCACCTCCTTAGATATCAAAACACTGCTGTCTTGTCACCCCTATTCCTTGTTTTCATTAAACATTTCAATGACTGAGTACATTCATTAACATTGTTTTTTCTGGGAGAATTTACTCCCAGAAATGATTTCATTTGTCTGAAGGTTGATCTGCTGCATGGAACAGAAATGCCCTGTCAGAATCAGTTTCCTGTTTTTGCCCAGAAGAGAAGGCAGAATCAGTCAGTGTGTCTCTCTGGCACAATAATACATGGCAGTGTCAGAAGCTGACATGGAGTTCAACTGAAGGGAATATTCATTCTTGGAGTTCGAAGGTCAAGGCGAAGGAGAGAGTGATCCATCCATGACAAGGGCTCAGTGACTATGTCCCCTATCTCAAGATCACTCAACCACTGTCCAGAGACAAAAACCAGGTCCAGTGTGTTTCCCCCCCCCCTGTGCATAGGGCCAGAAATTAGCTGGGTCAGGTCCATGGCCGTCATGGAAACCATGAACTCCCGAGCCACCTCAGATGCCTCACCCGTGGACGGCAGGTTGAAATCCCCCATAACCATAAGTCTGGGGGTATCAACCGCCACCGCGGCGATAACATTGAGTAGCTCGGGCAGGGCTGTAGCCACGTGGCAGGGAGCCAGGTATGTGATCAACAAGCCCATCTGAACCCCATGACCCCACTTCACAAGGAGGGACTCACAACCGGCTGTCTGAGGAACAGTGGTCTCCCTCGGCCTAAGGCCTTCTCTAATAATAACCGCTACTCCCCCGCCCCTCCCCTGAGGCCTCAGCTGATGGAATGCGTGGAAGCCTGGTGGGCACATTTCTACCAGAGGGACCCCTCCCTCCGGGGGGAGTTGTAATATAGACAATTAAATTGAGGACAAAGATGTGAATGACAAGATCTTTCAAAAGTAATTAATTGCGTTCAAGATTGGCTTCTACACTGGACAATGCATATCTCAGGTCCAATGTAATCCCTGAGGGACAGCGATAACTAGTGAAAATCCATCTTCTCCAGTTATGGTCACTCCTCTGAGGTTTGGGGTGAGAGGGGTAAGGGAGAAATGCTGGATAAACAAAATTAAACTTAAATTGAACTAAAGAGGGATCAATCAATCAATCGGCCAAACAATGTCGACTGGTGGCCCCTAGGGGGAAAGCCTTCTCTGTGGGGGCACCTACTATCTGGAACGAGCTTCCCCCGGAGATATGGAGGATCCCTGATCTGCGCACCTTCCACCGCGCTTTTAAGACCTTTTTATTCCACCAGGCAGGCCTGGCCTAATCTTTTCTCTCTTTTTAATTATGCAAATTTTAATTGGTTTTTAAATGATTGGGGTGTTTTAATCTGTCTGGGCCAAATTGTTTAATTCGATTTTACTTTGTTTTTAAATTTTGTATCTATGTATTTTTACTGTTTGGCTGTTCACCACCATGAGTCCTTCAGGAGTCGGGCAGTATATAAATCAAATAAAGTAATAAAATAAAGTAATAAAGTAATTAAAATAGAGCTGTAAGGGACCTTGAAGGTCTCCTAGTCCAACACCGTGCTCAAGCAGGAGACCTTATACCATTCCAGATAGGTGGCTGTCCAGTGTTTTCTTGAAAACCTTCAGCGATGAAGCACCTACAACTTCTGAAGGCAAAACCTTTCCACTGGTTATCCCAAAGGTGCTTTTTTAAGAGGCAACTGGATTTTCTGGTTTTTCTTTGAAGATACTTTGCTTCCCATCCAAGAAGCTTCTTCTTTTCTTCAAAGAAAAAGGAAAAAGGACAGTTGCCTCTTGAAAAAGCACCTTTGGGACAACCATGACCAGGATGACTCCCTAGATGGTCCACTGGTTAATTGTCCTCTCTGTTGGGAACTTTCTCCTTAATTCCATGTTGCTTTTCTCCTTGATTAATTTCCATCCACTGTTTCTTGTCTTGCCTTCCGGTGCTTTTGAGAATAATTCGACCCCCCTTTTCCTTGTGGAAGACACTCAAATACTGGAATACTGCTATCATAGTCTTTCTTTTCTCTAGACCCAATTCCTGTAACCATTCTTCAGATGTTTTTGTCTCCAGGCCCTTAATCAGGGGCCTGGAGGTTTCGCTCCAGATTGTAATTGTCTTAGAAATGTTCTCCTTTTTATATTTACCGATATCATACATTGGTCTTGTCCTGTGTTTCTATTTCTGATTTGCAGCACTTTGCTGCCCTCTAGAGGAAATATCTTCCAAATTATAAATCTGCCTTTGTCAAATAGTAAGTCAAAAATCTGGCTTCTACTTTTAACCTGATGATCTGAAGAGAGAAATTTGAAATAGAGATTAGGCTGCATTGCCTCTTTCCTCCTTTATCCGAAATCTGATACCGGAAATAAGGGAGGAGAGAGAGAAGAAAGGAAGGAAGGAAGGAAGGAAGGAAGGAAGGAAGGAAGGAAGGAAGGAAGGAAGAGGAAGGAAGGAAGGAAGAGAAGGAAAGCAAGGATGGATGGATGGAAGGAAAGAAGGAAAGAAGGAAGGAAGGAAGGAAGGAAGGAAGGAAGGAAGGAAGGAAGGAAGGGAGGGAGGGAGGGAGGGAGGAAGGAAGGGAGGAAGAAAGACCAGGGGAAAAATTGTGAATGTAACCCATTTTCTGTTTCTTTTTATTTTTCATTAAGGACATTATGATCCAAACTCTGTCTTATTTCTACCTGGATAGGGAGCTGCACAAATAGATATCACTTCCATGCCATCAAGAGCGTAATTACTATTATATTTTATTCAGGTTCAAATGAATAACCAGACATAATTCATTGTAGCAAGATGGATCTTTTGGGTAGAATGGGTTCTGTCATCATCTGCTTCAGCTGAATTTAATAGAATAACAGAATAACAGAGTTGGAAAAGACCTTGGAGGTCTTCTAGTCCAATGCTGTGCTCAAGCAGGAGTGTTGTGGTCCACTGGTGGCCTATGGAGCTGGCAGCAGAGTCAGACAGTGAGGAGGTTGGGGAGGAACATGAGCCAGTCCTGGAGTCTGGGGGAGGCTCGGACGAAGGCTCTGTGTCAAAGGCAGAGAAAGAGCTATCTGGGAGGTACCTGCTGCCTCCGGAGCCTCCAGAGTCAGACATCAGAGAGGCAGAGGAACACAGAGAGCCTGTGCCCAGTGTGGGCATGCGCAGAGCTGCCAGAAGGCAAGAACAGTTCAAACAAAAGGGTCGACTCAGGAGTAAGGCTTGGAGATGATTGGCTCCTCCCATAAGACTTAAAAGAGGAGCAAATGCGTGTGGGCTTTTGCAGGAAGCAACATTGGTAATTCTGTTCAGTTTAAAGTCTGAAGCTCTGTTTGATTCTGTACTCTGTGTAGCTTTGCCAATTATTACTTTGGCAGCGTGTCAAGGGAGATAAAGGTGGGGGATTATTAGCCTTATCCCAAAAGACTCTTTACAACTATTTGAGACTTATCTGTGAATGAAGGGAATTCACAGCTGTTGCAATAAAAGAGGTTTGGGTTTTATTGACTCAGGAAGGCTAGGTCAGAACAAGGAGACCCTACAGCATTTCAGACAAATGGTTGTCCAGTCTCTTCTTTAAAACTTCCCGTGTTGAAGCACCCACAATTTTTGGAGCCAAGTTGTTCCACTAATTAATTGTTCCAACTGTTAACAAATTTCTCTTTAGTTCTAGGTTGGTTCTCTCCTTGATTAGTTTCCATCCATTGCTTCTTGTCCAGCCTTTAGGTGCTTTGAAGAATAGGGTGACTCCCTCTTCTTTGTGGCAGCTCCTTAGATGTTGAAACACAGTTAACATGTCACCCCTATTCCTTCTTTTCATTAAACATTTCAATGACTGAGTACATTCATTAACATTGTTTTTTCTGGGAGAATTTACTCCCAGAAATGATTTCATTTGTCTGAATGTTGATCTGCTGCATGGAACAGAAATGCCCTGTCAGAATCAGTTTCCTGTTTTTGCCCAGAAGAGAAGGCAGAATCAGTCAGTGTGCATGTCTAGCACAATAATACACGGCAGTGTCAGCAGCTGACATGGAGTTCAACTGAAGGGAATATTCATTCTTGGAGTTGTCTGAAGCAATGGTGGTGCGGCTTTGAAGAGAAGATGAGTACCATTTTCTACCATTATAGGGGAAGATTCTAGTAATCCATTCTAAGCCTTTCCCTGGAGGCTGACGGATCCAGTGCCAAGAATAGCTGGTACTCGTGATGGAGACACCAGTAACTTTACAGACCAAATTAAGATTTTGCCCGGGTGTTAGAGTTCCTGGTCCCGATGACACAAGTTGCACCTCAGAAAGTGACCCTAAAGAAGTAAAAGACAAAAAAATAATCAGGATTCACAAGCCTCTGAAAAATAAAAAGTCACAGTTGCTTTCTCTAAAATTGTGTTCTTACATTTTGGCATGGCTATCAGGGAAAAGAAACACAGCAAGAAATTCATAGTCTCTTTTTCAAGTCTTTTTCCTCCAGTGTGACATGTACAATTTGAAGGAAATGTAAAGATCTACAATGAGGATCCTGCTTATAAAGAGGAAGATTTCATGATGATATTTGCACATTTCTAGTGAGGTATAATGACGATCCTAGAAAGCCAGATTCAGTGGAGAGTTTGTATTCAATAGGGGAATCTAGTCCATCTGCTTGGGAGTAAGTAGTGAGCATTTTGAAGACCATCAAAGTAGTGTGGATTATAAACAATAGGAATTGAACACTTGACTCTGAGGATTAATGAGACATGGGGAAATTTGGTGGGCCGTTCTGTATTTTAAATATTGTTTGAGAGAACATTTGAAAAGGCAAAAGAAGAAAAGTTAAACAAGAGCTATAAATTCATACAATTTAGAAGAAGCAAATTGGCAAATTTTGAGGACTATAAATATTATAGATTCTGAGGAACAGTTCCGAGATTCAGCAAACTGTTCTAATATTGCTCTTTGGCGTTTTGGGCAATTGGGGCATTGGGATTTTGATGGATTATTAATTAATTTATAGTTCATTCAATTATAGCAAAATGTTACAGCAGGGAAAAACAAACACATTTCAAAAAGAAATGCTATCAGTGTTTCAAGGTATTCAGGAAGCTACGATAACGAACTATATGGAGATGAAGAAACTGATGCATAACAGAGATGTGAGACCAGGAAACCCTCAGCAAATTACAATGAAAAATGAACAAAAAATCCAGAAAATAGAGGAGAAATTGGAAGGATCAGAGGAAAGAATAGAGGAGATAAATCAACAAATGATATAAGCAGATAAAGATATGAAAGAGAAAGTAAAGACTCTTGAAATTGAGCAGGTAGATAACATTTTAAGCAGTCAAAATACAGAAAAGGTCAAAGAGAAAGAGCTCCCAGCTGTGATGAAAGGGTTATTGATGGGTACTCTAGAGATTTCACTGTGAGAGGTAGATGAAAAGGCAGATGAAATACTTAGACTAAATATGAGTGATGAAAGGAGATACAGGTTCTCAAGGGAGGAGCATGGGAGATTTGTCAAAAAGTCAATAAGATTTGAAACACTAAAAAGGGCAAGAGATGATATGATATGATTCAATAAGAGGATGTAGATAAAGTCTATCTTTTTCCTTCCTTCCTTCCTTCCTTCCTTCCTTCCTTCCTTCCTTCCTTCCTTCCTTCCTTCCTTCCTTCCTCCCTCCCTCCCTCCCTCTCTCCCTCCCTCCCTCCTTCCCTCCCTCCCTTCCAAAATTCACATACCAGCCCTATTGCCTGTTAGAAAAGTAAGATTTTCATCACTGTATGTCAGCCTAATCAAGATCTTTGGGCAAATTTCCCAATATTCATTAGGACAAGTTTCCCTTTGAGACCACAATCATACCTTGTCAGAGAAAAAAGTCTTATTTCCCTTATCGGACTTCCTCTTTGAATTCTGCTGTTTCATTGGCACTTAGCTATTCAGAGAGAAATAGCTTTCTGAAAAATTCAGAAATATACCTAGTATAGGCAAACAGGTCGGAAGTTGTTTTTCCTGATGTTTTTGCTCTCTTGACCCATGACATTTCCTCAAATGTCTCAGAATTATGACAAGTATAGATAACCATGGCTTGAGTATAGACTGACATTCTTGAGCTATTCACAACAGCATAGCAATGGCCTCTGTTGTAATATAGACAATTAAACTGAGGGGCAAAGATTTGAATGACAAGATCTTTCAAAAATAATTAATTGTGTTCAAGATTGTCTTCTACACTGGACAATGCATATCTCAGGTCCCATGTAATCCCTGAGGGACAGCGATAACTAGTGAAAATTCATCTTCTCCAGTTATGGTCACCCTTCTGTCTGGCATTTGGATCCCTCTTGGAGTTCCAAAAAGAGAATTATCTACATTAAGCACATGTAAACAAGGGAAGTGATCCTAAATGCTGCTCCTTACTAAGGGAGAATTGCAACAAGATATGAAATTTTATATTTCTATATATTTCGTACTCTGTTACATATTTTTAAATGTTATGGTAGTTAATAAGAAAAGCTCCTTCAAGACTCTCTGCATGGGGCAGCCCTAGAAGACAATCTGTAAATTACAAGTGACCCAGAGGTGCAAGGCATAACAAGAAGCAATGGATGGAAACTAATCAAGGAGAGAACTAATCTAGAACTAAGGACAAATTTCCTGACAGTGAGAACAATTAACCAGTGGAACGATTTGCCTCCAGAAGTTGTGGGTGCTCCATAACTGTTGGTTTTTAAGATGAGATTGGACAACCATTTGTCTGAAGTGGTGTAGGGGTTCCTGCTTTAGCAGTGGGTTGAACTTGAAGACCTACAAGTTCTCTTCCAACTCTGTTACTCTATTAATTTATGTTAATTTCTCATTTTCCTTTGTTTTAGCCATAGCTGTCTTGAGTTTTAGAAAAGATCTGTCGTGGGTGCACCTAGGTATACCCACATTACCCCAATTCTCCGCGAGCTGCACTGGCTCTCTAATGGTCTCTGGTCACAATTCAAGGTGTTGGTTATTACCTTTAAAGCCCTACGTGGCTCAGGGCCAGGGTATCTTCAAGACCGCCTTCTGCCGCATAGCTCCGAACGACTGGTAAGATCCCACAGAGTTGGTCTCCTCCGGGTCCCATCAGCTAAACAATGCCAGCTGGAAGGCCCATGGGGAAGAGCCTTCTCTGTGGCTGCCCCAGTTCTCTGGAACTAGTTACCTCCTGAGGTCCGGACCATCCCCACTCTATTGGCCTTCCGAAAAGCGGTGAAGACCTTGCTTTTATGGCATGCCTGGGGCCGTTGATCTCGCTCTTGTGATCTGGCAAGATCTGGCCATGAATGGCGTGAATGAGTTTTTAATGTTCTTAACGTTTTTAATTTTTAAATGTTTTTTATAATGATTTTTTTAAATGTATTGTGAGCTGCCCTGAGTATTCGGAGAGCAGCACCATATAAATTGAATTAATTAAATTAAATTAAAATTAAATCACTCTGCCTCCATATTTTCTTCTTTTGTGTTCCTCTAGATTTTCCCTTCCCTTTTTTCCATTCTTATTACAAGGCACCTCAGCTATACTACAATTCCCCATCACTAAAGAGATGTATTTTTTTATACATTTGAGCTTATATTTAAGTGTGCTTATTACAAAAGCCAATTCTAGGAGATTCACAATATCCAACAATCAACAAAATTTAAAAAATAACACAGTACATTGTCAATAAATCGCATCCCTTCAATAAATTCATTGCATATACAGAAACATATGTACTAAGTCTCTCAGATACAGAATGTCTAAAGCATACCTTTATTTTCCAAAGCCCCAGAAGGTAAAATAAGAAACAATGGATGGAAACTAGCCAAGGACAGAAGTAATCTAGAACTAGGGAGAAATTTCCTGACAATGAATCCAATCAACCAGTGGAACAATTTGCCTCCAGAAGTTGTGGATCGTCCAATACTGGAAGCTTTTAAGAAGAGATTGGACAACCATTTGTTTAAAATGTTATAGGGTCTCTTCCCAAAACATGGTGTTAGAATAGAAGATCTCCAAGATCCCTTCCATCTCTGATGATGAATTCTCTCAGATGGAGTTCATCTTTAAAACTTCCAGTGTTAAAGCACCCACAATTTTTAGAGCCAGGTTGTTCACTGATTAATTGTTCCAACTGTCAAGAGATTTCGCTTTAGTTCTAGGTTGCTTCTCTCCTTGATTAATTTCCATCCTTTGCTTCTTGTCCGGCCTTCAGGTGCTTTGAGGAATAGGGTGACCCCCTGGTCTTTGTGGTCTCTCCTTAGATATTAAAACACTGCTATCATGTCACCCCTATTCCTTCTTTTCATTAAACATTTCAGTGACTGAGTACATTCATTAAGAATGTTTTTTCTGGGAAAATTTACTCTAAGAATTCATATGATTTCATTTGTCTGAATGTTGATCTGCTGCATGGAACAGAAATGCCCTGTCAGAATCAGTTTCCTGTTTTTGCCCAGAAGAGAAAGCAAAATCAGTCAGTGTGTCTCTCTGGCACAATAATACACGGCAGTGTCAGCAGCTGACACGGAGTCCAACTGAAGGGAATATTCATTCTTGGAGTTGTCTGAAGCAATGGTGGTGCGGCTTTGAAGAGAAGGTGAATACACTTTTCCCCCATTATAGGGGAAGATATAGGCAATCCATTCTAATCCTTTCCCTGGAGGCTGACGGATCCAGTTCCAAGTATAGCTGCTACTCGTGATGGAGACACCAGTAACTTTACAGACCAAGTTGAGATTTTGCCCTGGTCTTACAGTTCCTGGCCCCGACGACACAAGTTGCACCTCAGAAAGTGACCCTAAAGAAGTAAAAGACAAAAAAATAATCAGGATTCACAAGCCTCTGAAAAAAAAAAAGTCACAGTTGCTTTCTCTAAAATTGTGTTCTTACATTTTGGCATGGCTATCAGGGAAAAGAAAAACAGCAAGAAATCCATAGTCTCTTTTTAAAGTATTTTTCCTCAACTCTGACATGTACAATTTGAAGGAAATGTAAAGATCTGACATGAGGACCCTGTTTATAAAGAGGAACATTTCATGATGATATTTGCATATTCCTAGTGGGGTATAAAGGCTCTCCTAGAAAGCTAGGTTCAGTGGAGAGTTTGTATTCAATAAGAGGATGTAGATAAAGTCTATGTTTTTCCTTCCTTCCTTCCTTCCTTCCTTCCTTCCTTCCTTCCTTCCTTCCTTCCTTCCTTCCTTACTTACTTACTTACTTACTTACTTACTTACTTACTTACTTCGTTCCTCTCTCTCTCCCTCCCGCCCTCTCTTCCAAAATTCACAAACCAGTCCTATTGCCTCTTAGAAAAGTATATATGGTGGACATGCAAGAAAGCAAAGGCTTTTTGGATAAAAATTTGGTGGGTTATGCAAAATGTCTTGAAGAAAAAAATTCAATTTTCTCCTCAATTGTTTTTACTGGGTATAGTTAAGGGTTTTTCAGTGGGTGAAACAAAATTGATATTGTATATGGTGACAGCAGCTAGGTTACTGATTGGTCAATATTGGAAAAGGGATGATATGCCTACAATTCAAGAATGGACTTTGAAGATGGCCAGTTTTGAAGAAATGGCGAAGATAACAGCATACTTAAAAGACCGGACTCAAGAGACTTATGTATGGGAGTGGAAGAAATGGATAGATTATTTGCAGAATAAATACCAAACTAGGAAGTACCCAATAGCCTTTAGCTAAATGTTATAATTTATAGGGGGCATATTATTATGTAGAAATGTATAGTGCACAGGGAGGAGAATAGAGGGGTGGTAAAGTATGATTTAATATAATGTGGATGGATTTCACCTTGGGGAAGTCATGGGGAGAGGGGAGGGTTTGGGGGGGTTAGGGAGGGATGGGGGGGAAATGGGGGAAAAATTGATATTTGTAAAACTTTTTCAATAAAAAAAAAAATCCAAAAAAAAAAAAAAGATCTTTGGGCAAATTTCCTAATATTCATTAGGACAAGTTTCCCTTTGAGACCACAATCATACCTTGTCAGAGGAAAAAAGTCTTATTTCCGTTATTGGACTTCCTCTTTGAATTCTGCTGTTTCATTAGCACTTAGCTATTCAGAGAGAAATATTCAGAAAATATAACTAGTGTAGGTAAACAGGTGGGAAGTTGTTTTTCCTGAGGTTTTTGCTCTTTTGACCCATGACCTTTCCTCAAACGTCTCAGAATTATGGCAAGTCCAGATAACCATGGTTTGAGTATAGACTGACATTCTTGAGCTATTCACAACAGCATAGCAATGGCCTCTGTCCTAATACAGACAATTAAACTGAGGGACAAAGATTTCAAGGAAAAGATCTTGGAAAAGTAATTAATTGCATTCAAGATTGGCTTCTACACTGGAAAATGCATATCTCAGGTCCCATGTAATCCCTGAGGGACAGCGATAACTAGCAAGATTAACAGATTTTGAAATAGTTAAAAAGGTTAAATATCTAGGAGTATACATAGCAGCTTCAAATACAAAATTATACAAAAATAACTATGAGGTTCTTTGGCAGAAGGTACAGAAGGATATGGAGAATTGGAAAAAATTACAGTTGTCTTTATTGGGAAGAATTGCAGCAATTAAAATGAACGTGTTACCTAGATTTTTATTTTTGTTTCAAATGATACCTGTGCTTAAGAAAGATGAAAATCTGAGAGAATGGCAGAAAGGTGTTAATACTTTCATTTGGGCTGGGAAAAAACCCAGAATAAAAATGAAAATTATACAAGATATACGTGAAAGAGGGGGTCTCAAAATGCCTAATTTAAGACTATATTATGAAGCAGCGGTCTTATCACAAATTAGTGATTGGTTTAACTTAACTGAGTGGAGAATTTTGAATTTAGAAGGTTATGATTTGTTATATGGATGGCATGCCTATTTGTTATATGACAAAAAAGTGGATAAAGTATTTAAGGCTCATATACTTAGAAATGCTTTGTTGAGGGTTTGGAAAAAATATCAATATAAGTTAAATTATAAGATACCTGTATGGGCAAATCCTAGACATGCAATAGAAAATATAAGTATAGAACAAAAACAGGAGGTGATTACCTATAAAGAGCTTCTTATTATGGAAAGGGGGATAATGTATTTGAAATCTTTAGATACATTGAGAGAAGAAGGTAAAATTTATACATGGTTTCAGTACGGTCAACTTCAAGCTAGATGGAAGGAAGATAAAAAAACTGGCTTTGTGCAAAATGAGGAGAATTTGGTAAAACAAATCAGAGATCAAAAAACAAATGCATATTAAAAGGTTGTATAATGCTTTATTGGAAATAGACTCTGAGACGGAACTGGTTAAAGACTGTATGATTAAATGGGCACAAAACTTTCAAGAGCCAGTAATGATGAAGACTTGGGAAAAGATTTGGATTAGAAATGTGAAATTTACACAAGCACAAAATTTAAGAGAAAACTTTTATAAAATGTTTTATAGATGGCACTTAGATCCCAAAAAAAATTATCATGTATGTATCCTAATGTGCAAGCTAAATGTTGGAGATGTGACTGTGATGATGCAACTTATTATCATATATGGTGGACTTGTAAAAAAATCAAAGCATTTTGGATAAAGATTTGGTGGGTGATGCAGAATATTCTTAAAAAGAGACTGAAATTTACTCCACAGTTGTTCTTATTGGGTATAACTTCGGACTGTACAGTTGCAGAGATTAAACTGATTTTGAACTTGATAACAGCAGCAAGATTGTTGGTAGCACAACATTGGAAGAAGGACTTTTTGTCTACTATTGATGACTGGATATTGAAAGTAACTAATTTAGCTGAAATGGCTAAAATTTCAGCATATTTGAAGGAAAATCAGTCAGTGTGTCTCTCTGGCACAATAATAGACTGCTTTTATATCTGTGGACACCACAGATAGCTTTCTTTTCCTACCATTTCTGATTCTTTTCATTTGGTTTAAGGACATTGTGAACCAAACTCTACCCCCTTTCTACCCATGTAGTGAACTGCAAAAAAGTCATAAAATTCATATCAATTAACTGGAGTGGCTCCAGACAGATGGATCGATTAGGAAGAAGAAGTGTTGTTATTGTCTGAAGATGAATTTCAGTGACAAGTCCACTGTTTTAATGTTCTTCTTGGAGATATATTCCTCCAAAAATTCAAATGATTTCAATGACTGAATACAATTTTAAATATAATGCCCTGTTAGAATCAGTTTCCTGTTTTTGCCCAGAAGAGAAGGCAGAATCAGTCAGTGTGTATCACTGGCACAATAATACACGGCAGTGTCAGAAGCTGACACGGAGTTCAACTGAAGGGAATATTCATTCTTGGAGTTGTCTGAAGCAATGGTGGTGCGGCTTTGAAGAGAAGATGAGTACCGTTTGCTGCCATCATAAGGGTAGATATAGGCAATCCATTCTAAGCCTTTCCCTGGAGGCTGACGGACCCAGTGCCAAGCATAGCTGCTACTCGTGATGGAGACACCAGTAACTTTACAGACCAAATTGAGGTTTTGCCCTGGTCTTACAGTTCCTGGCCCCGATGACACAAGTTGAACCTCAGAAAGTGACCCTAAAGAAGTAAAAGACAAAAAAATAATCAGGATTCACAAGCCTCTGAAAAATAAAAAGTCACAGTTGCTTTCTCTAAAATTGCGTACTCACGTTTTGGCATGGCTATCAGGGAAAAGAAAAACAGCAAGAAATTCATAGTCTCTTTTTAAAGTTTTTTTCCTTCAATCTGACATGTACGATTTGAAGGAAATGTAAAGATTTAAAATGAGGACCTTGCTTATAAAGAGGAAGATTTCCTGATGATATTTGCATATTCCTAGTGAGGTATAAAGACGCTCCTAGAAAGCCAGGTTCAGTGGAGAGTTTGTATTCAATAAGAGGATGTAGATAAAGTCTATGTTTTTCCTTCCTTCCTTCCTTCCTTCCTTCCTTCCTTCCTTCCTTCCTTCCTTCCTTCCTCCCTCCCTCCCTCCCTCCCTCCCTCCCTCTCTTTTCCTCCCTTTCAAAATTCACAACCCAGCCCTAAGGCCTGTTAGAAAAGTAAGATTTTCACCACCATATGTCAGCCTAATCAAGACTTTGGGAAAATTTCCCAATATTCGTGATAAGGTAAATTAGGAGAAGTTTCCTTTTGAGACCACAATCGTATCTTGTCAGAGAAAAAAGTGTTATTTCCTATATTAGACTTCCTCTTTGAATTCTGCTGTTTCATTGGCACTTAGCTATTCAGAGAGAAATAGCTTTCTGAAAAATTCAGAAATATACCTAGTATAGGCAAACAGGTCGAAAGTTGTTTTTCCTGAGGTTTTTGCTCTCTTGACCCATGATATTTCCTCAAACGTCTCAGAATTATGGCAAGTCTAGATAACCATGGCTTGAGTATAGACTGACATTCTTGAGCTATTCACAACAGCATAGAATGGCCTCTGTTCTAATATAGACAATTAAACTGAGGGAGAAAGAGTTCAATGAAATGATCTTGGAAAAGTAATTAATTGCATTCAAGATTGGCTCCTACACTGGACAATGCATATCTCAGGTCCATGAAATCCCTGAAGGACAGTGATAACTAGTAAAAATTCATCTTCTCCAGTTATGGTCACCCCTCTGTCTGGCATTCATTGGGCTTTCAAAAAGAGAATCATGTACATTTAACACATGTAAATAGCTGAGACAAGGGAACTGAACCTCAATGCCGATCCTCATTAGAACAGACAGAATTGCAATGAGACATGAAATTTTATATTTCTATGTATTATACTCTGTTACACATTTTTACATTTTATGCTGTTTAATAAGAAAAGCTGCTTCAAAACTCCCTACATAGGGCTGCCCTAGAAGATAATTTGTAAATTTCAAGTGATGCAGAAGTCCAAGGCATAACAAGAAGCAGTGGATGGAAACTAATCCATGAGAGAACCAATTTAGAAGTAAGGAGAACTTTCTAGAGCTTGCAGGAATTGGGTAGGTCTAGTCTAGAAAACAGCAGGACTATGGTTGACATAATAGCGGTATTCCAATATCTGAGAGGATGTCACAAAGAAGAGGTTGGTCAACCTATTCTCCAAAGCACAAGAAGGCAAGACAAGAAACAACGGGTGGAAAGTAATCGAGGAGAGAAGCGACCTAGAATTAAGAAGAAATTTCCTGACAGTGAGAACAATTAATCAGTGGAAGAACTTGCCTCCAGAAGTTGTGGGTGCTCCATCACTGGATGTTTTAAAGAAGAGATTGGACAACCATTTGTCTGAAGTGGTGTAGGGTTTCTTGCCTGAGCAGGGGGTTGGACCCTCCAAATTCACTTCCAACTCTGTTACTCTGTTAATTTCTGTTAATTTCTCATTTTCCTTTGTTTTAGCCATGGCTGTGCTGGGTTTGAGAAAAGATCACTCTGCCTCCATATTTTCTTCCTTTGAGTTCCTCTAGATTTTCCCTTCCTTTTTTCCCATTGTTATTCCAAGGCACCTCAGCAATACCACAAGCTGCTACTCCTGCTATTTCTCTCTCTTTGCACGTGACACGTGACTAGTTTTCTCAGATATCCCAACATTTAAGGTTCATATCAATGTAACCATAGTTTGACTTAATTATATTACTGGTATCCCTTATTTATACACAGGAGCTCAACAATTGCCACAGTTCTAAATTGAGGGACAAAGATTTCAAAGAAAGGATCTTACGAAGATCTCAGAATGTACTATGGATGGTTTCTACCACTGTTCTTAATTGCTGTAATAATTTTAGTCTCCTGACCACAAAAGCCCATCAAGCTGTTCGATTTGCCATTGTTTCCATAATTTCCCGGAATTCTACTTAATAATCTTCTGCTTTTTTTTTTTAAGGAATGAAAATGAAAAGTAATTGACAATTTTAGTTTGGGGATTGCTGGAAAAAAGAGGTTTGGGGTGAGAGGAGTAAAGGAAAAATAGCAGATAAACAAAATTAAACTTAAATTGAACCAAGACGGATCAATCAATCAATTACAGTAGAGCTGCAAGGGACCTTGGAGGTCGTCTGTTCCAACCACCTGCTCAAGCAGGAGACCTTATACCATTCCAGATAGGTGGCTGTCCAGTATTTTCTTAAAAACCTTCAGTGATGAAGCATCTACAACTTGTGAAGGCAAACTTTTCCACTGGTTATCCCAAAGGTGCTTTTTCAAGAAACAACTGTATTTTCTGGTTTTTCTTTGAAGATGTTTTGCTTCTCATCCAAAAAGCTTCTTCAGCTTTTGGTTTCCGTCCCGATTGTAATTGTCTTAGAAATGTTCTGCTTTTTATATTTCCCGATATCATACATTGGTCTTGTCCTGTAGTTGTATTTCTGATGTCCAGCACTTTCCTAGAGGAAATCTCTTCCAAATTATAAATCTGCCTTTTTCACACAGTAAATCAAAGCTCTGGCTTCTACTTTTAACCTGATGATCTCAAGAGAGAAATTTGAAATAGAGATTAGGCTGCATGGCCTCTTTCCTCCTTTATCCGCTCTATTTCTTAGATGCCTAGCACATTTTATTTTGATTTTCAGTATTGATCTCTGGTAGTCAGCAACAGGATAAAATGGAAATCTGATATCAGAAATAAGGGAGGAGAGAGAGAAGAAAGAAAGGAAGGAAGGAAAAAAGGAAGGAAGGAAAGAAGGAAAGAAAGAAGGAAAGAAAGAAAGAAAAAAGAAGGAAACAAAGAAAAAAGGAAAGAAAGAAAGAAAGAAAGAAAGAAAGAAAGAAAGAAAGAAAGAAAGAAAGAAAGAAAGAAAGAAAGAAAGAAAGAAAGAAAGAGGAAGACATACATATATACATACCAGGGAGAAAATTGTGAATGTAATACATTTTCTGTTTCTTGTCCTGCCTTCAGGTGCTTTGGAGAATAGGGTGACTCCCTCTTCTTTGTGGCAACTCCTTAGATGTTGAAACACTGTTATCATGTCACCCCCATTCCTTCTTTTCATTAAACATTTCAATGACTGAGTGCATTCATTAACAATGTTTTTTTCTGGGAGAATTTACTCCAAGAATTCAAATGCTTTCATTTCTCTGAATGTTGATCTGCTGCATGGAGCAAAAAAACCACAGTCAGAATCAGTTTCCTGTTTTTTCCCAGAAGAGCAGACAAAATCAGTCAGTGTGTATCTCTGGCACAATAATACACGGCAGTGTCAGAAGCTGACATGGAGTTCAACTGAAGGGAATACTCATTCTTGGAGTTGTCTGAAGCAATGGTGGTGCGGCTTTGAAGAGAAGGTGAGTACCATTTTCTGCCATCATTGGGGTAGATTCTAGCAATCCATTCTAATCCTTTCCCTGGAGGCTGACGGACCCAGTTCCAAACATAGCTACCACTAGTGATGGAGACACCAGTAACTTTACAGACCAAATTGAGATTTTGCCCTGGTATTACAGTTTCAGGCCCCGATGACACAAGTTGAACCTCAGCAAGGGACCCTAGAGAAGTAAGAGAAATAAAAAATAGAATTCATATGCATCGGAAAAAGAAATCGTATTGTCCTAATTCATAATTTCTGTAAAACTGTGTACTCACATTTTGGCATGGCTATGAGGAAAAAGAAAAACAGCCAGTAATTCATAATGGTTCCTTAAACAAATTTCCTCCAATTTAATGTGTACACATGGAAGAAAAGGTGGCAATCAAACAAAGAATTATGCTTTTAAAGGGGAACACCTTATGATATTTGCATAAATCACTGGGATATAAAGTAGCTTTTAATAAGCAAGGTGAGCTTGTATTCTTTAGGAGAGTCTGAAGGAAGCCTCCCTCCCTCATTTCCCCTCTCTCTCTCCCTCCCTTCCTCCCTCCCTCCCGCCCTCCCTTCCTTCCTTCCTTCCTGGCAGCTCACAATCATAACCCAGCTCTAATGCCTATTGGCAAAGGTTGACAGCCATACTTCAACCTAATCAAGATCCTTGGGCAAACCTCTTAATACTCATTATCTATTTTTGTAAAAAAATAAAAATAAAAAAAATAGGGATGCGGTGGCTCAGTGCCTAAAACACTGAGCTTGTCAATCAAAAGGTCAGCAGTTCAGCAGTTTGAATCCCTAGTGCCGCGTAACGGGGTGAGCTCCCGTGACTTGTCCCAGCTTCTGCCAACCTAGCAGTTCGAAAGCATGTAAAAAATGCAAGTAGAAAAATAGGGGACCATCTTTGGTGGGAAGGTAACAGCATTCTGTGCGCCTTTGGCGTTGAGTCATGCTGGCCACATGACCATGGAGATGTCTTCAGACAGCGCTGGCTCTTTGGCTTTGAAACAGAGATGAGCAATGCCCTCTAGAATTGGGAACGACTAGCACATATGTGCGAGGGAAACCTTTACCTTATCCTTGTAAAATGCTTAGGAAAAGTTTATTTTTGAGTTCACAGTCATAACTTTTGAAAAGAATTAGAATGTCTTCTTTCTTGTATTGTACTTCCTCTTTGGATTCTGTTGTTTCATTGGCACTTAGCTACACTTATGCCTAGTGTTGGGAGGCAAGTGGGAATTTAATCTTTATGTGATTTTACTCTCTTCATCTTGACACATGAACAGTTTCCTCAAATGCCATACAACTCTGGTATATCTACTGTATGTACATGGCTTGAGTGTACTTCTGACATTCTTGCCCTGGCAAATTCGCCCCAGCCAACTCATCATAGGACAACTCAAGGGAATTATCTCTGGCTCACCCCAGGCTCAAGGTTTCTAACTCAAGAACGTTCGAAGCTAAAGCAAGACAAGGCCCTTGAAATTCACTTCTTCCTTTCTTGAGTTATCCAATGGGGAATTTGTTAAGGTATTGATTGAATAGCTGAACAGCTGTTTAAGGCCGTAATTCTGAAATGATGATGCAATGAGAATGAGTCAGCAGGGTTAACTGTTAGTATGACTGTAACCTTGTTGCTGGTATCCTTAAGATTTATATTGACTGTTTCCCTATGACTATCATTAAGTGTTGTACCTTATGATTCTTGATGAATGTATCTTTTCTTTTATGTACATCGAGAGCATATGCACCAAGACAAATTCCTTGTGTGTCCAATCACACTTGGCCAATAAAGAATTCTATTCTATTCTATTCTATTCTATTCTATTCTATTCTATTCTATTCTATTCTATTCTATTCTATTCTATTCTATTCTATTCTATTCTCACTTTTAGAGGCTATTTTTATAAGAGACGCCCTGTGAGGGAGCCTCTCTCTCCATGTGTGCTTCCATCTATAGTTGATGATTGATTGCCTGACTTTGCCTAGTACATATATGTATATATTCCTTGTAGATAAACCACTATTTGAAAGACAAAACTCTGTTTACTGTATTTTGCTTCTGGGTTGTCTCAAATACTGTGCATACACTGACAGAATTGTCCAGCAGTGAGTTGTTCTGTGGCAAGTTGGCCAACCTGAATTGTCCCATGGCAAGTTGGCTGGGGTGAATCAGCTGCAGCAAGTCAGCCCAAGTGAGTGGTGAATTGCCCCATTGTATTACTAAGAAAAGCTTCTTCGTATGTTCTTCTGATTTAGCCATGGCTCTCTTAGGTTCTAAAGAAAGATCAATCTGTCTCTATATTTTCTTTCTTCTTGCTCCTTCACTCTAGATTTTCCCTTCTTGGTTTTCCATTGTTATGTCAAGGCATCTCAGCAGTACTAAAAAGCTTCATACGGCCTGCAAAGAGGTTTATTTATGCATGCATTCAGTTTTGTATTTAGGTATACTTACTCCTAAGGGAAACTCTGAGGGATTCACAATATCCAACAATCAACAAAATTAAAACTGCAACAATACTTACATTTACAGACCCCTTGCATCCTGGACATAAATTGTTTCAACTCCTACCCTCAAAATGATGCTGTGATGTGAGCACTGCACACCAAGACAACTAGACACAACAACAGTTTTTTCCTGAATGCCATCAATCTGCTAAACAAATAATTCCCTCAACACTGTCAAACTATTCACTAAGAGTGCATTACTATTACTATTAGTCTTCTCACCATTCCTATCACCCATCTCCTCCCACTTATGACTGTATGACTGTAACTTTGTTGTTTGTATCCTTATAATTTATATTGATATTATATTATATTATATTATATTATATTATATTATATTATATTATATTATATTATATTATATTATATTATATTATATTATATTATATTGATATATTGTTTCCTAATTGCTTATTTGTACCCTATGACTATCATTAAGTGTTGTACCTTATGATTCTTGATGAATGTATCTTCTTTTTATGTACACTGAGACACTTATGCACCAAAGACAAATTCCTTGTGTGTCCAGTCATACTTGGCGAATAAAGAATTCTCTTCTCTTCTCTTCTCTTCTCTTCTCTTCTCTTCTCTTCTCTTCTCTTCTCTTCTCTTCTCTTCTCTTCTCTTCTCTCTTTTTTTAAAATTTGATTTATATGCCGCCCTTCTCCGGAGACTCTGGGTGGTTTACAATGCGTTAAGCAATAGCCTTCATACTTTTCTATATTTATACAAAGTCAGCTTATTGCCCCCACAAACTGGGTCCTCAATTTACCTACCTTAGAAAGGATGGAAGGCTGAGTCAACCTTGAGCCTGGTGAGATTCGAACTTACAGTAATTGCAGACAGCTGGTGTTAATCACAATGCTATCAGTCTGCTGAGCCACCAGGCTCTTCTCTTCTCTTCTCTTCTCTTCTCTTCTCTTCTCTTCTCTTCTCTTCTCTTCTCTTCTCTTCTCTTCTCTTCTCTTCTCTTCCCTTCCCTTCCCTTCCCTTCCCTTCCCTTCCATTCCCTTCCCTTCCCTTCCATTCCATTCTATCCCATATTCTATTCTTTCCCATCTACTCTATTCTACTCTACTCTACTCTACTCTACTCTACTCTACTCTACTCTACTCTACTCTGTCAATAAACAACACTCCTTCAATAAACACATTGCATATACAGAAACTTATGAAGTAAGTCTCTCAGATGGAACTAATCTAAAACAGACTCTTGCCGGACAACAAACATAGATTGTTTGACATTCTTCCCATTTATTGATAATTTATTTCCTTTGGTAAATAGTGGAAATAAAAAAGCAATTGAAAATGTTAGTTTGGGGGATGCTAAGGAAAAGGTCAGAGAAAGGAGAAATATCCATTAAATGAAAGAAAACCCCAGCCAAACAGGACCAAAGCAATGGATAGATGCAACCAAGGTTGCAATTGTCTTAGAGATTCTGCTATTTATTTGTGCTCAGGTCAGTTTTGGGGTCTTGTTGCATTCTTATATTTCTGGTTTGCAGTTCTTTGGCACCCTCTAGAGGACACCTCTAACAAATTTAAGCACAGTTCTCTCCCACTGAATTTCTCACAGAGTAAATCAGAGCTCTGGCTCCTACCATTATGATGTGAAGACAGAAGTTTGAAATTGGCGTTGGCTGCGTTGCCTCTTTTCTCCTTTATCCACTCAATGCAAGGGTGAAATGCTATTGGTTCGCTCCAGTTCAGGCAAACCGGTAGTGATAAAAACTACCAGTTTGGGTGAACCAGTAGTAAAAAAAATGCTTTAAAAAGTTAAAAAAAAAAAAGGTTCCAACGATCAGAGCTGTGCCATATGATCGTTGGAACCTTTTTTTTTTTTTTTACTTTTTTAAAGCATTTTTTACTACCTATTCGCCTGAACCAGTAGTAAAAAAGTGCTTTAAAAAGTTTTTTAAAAAGGTTCCGACAATCGAATGGCACAGCTGATTGTCACAGCTGATCATCGGAACCTTTTTTTTTTTTACTTTATTAAAGCATTTTTTTTACTACTGATCTGGGTGAATAGGTAGTAAAAAAAAGTTTTTAAAAAGTTTAAAAAAAAGATTCTGATGATCACGCGGCACAGCTGATTGTCACAGCTGATTGTTGGAACCTTTTTTTTACTTTTTTAAAGCATTTTTTTACTTCTGGTGTGGGTGAATAGGTAGTAAAAAAATGCTTTAAAAAAGTAAAAAAAAAAGTTTCCAACAATCACGCGGCACAGCTGATTGTCACAGCTGATCGCCGGAACCTTTTTTTTTTTTTTTTACTTTTTTAAAGCATTTTTTTACTACTGGTTTGAGTGAATAGGTAGTAAAAAAAAGTTTTAAAAAAGTAAAAATAAGATTCCGATGATCATGTGGCACAGCTGATTGTGACACCTGATTGTCAGAACCTCTTTTTTTTTACTTTTTAAAAGCATTTTTTTACTACCTATTCGCCCAAACTGGGAGTAAAAAAATGCTTTAAAAAAGTTAAAAAAGAGCTTCTGACGATCATATGGCACAGCTGTTTGTCGTCAGAACCTCTTTTTTTTACTTTCTTAAAGCATTATTTTTACTACCGGTTTGGGCAAATAGGTAGTAAAAATGCTTTTAAAAGTAAAAAAAAAAGAGAGAGAGAGTTGGCCATGCCCACCCAGTCTCATGACCCCCACCAAGCCATGCCCACCAAGCCATGCTCACAGAACCAGTAGGAAAGAATTTTGCATTTCACCACTGACTCAATGAATTTTGAATACTGACCTAAAAGGATATCTGATACCTCAAGTGAGAGAGGAATGGTGGGGTAGGAAGGAGAGAGAGGGGGGGAAAGAAAGATAAAAGGAAGGAAGGAAGGAAGGAAGGAAGGAAGGAAGGAAGGAAGGAAGGAAGGAAGGAAGGAAGGGGAAATGAGAATAATTATATTCATTTTAGACTTAGACTTAGAATGTAGACTTAGAATAACTTTATTGTCACTTTGAATGTACACTAATTGGCATACATTAAAATGAAATTTTGTTGTATACAGCTCTCAAAGGGTCTCCACCTCCAATATACACTACATAAACATGACAAAATAAATGAATGAATACAAAATGATGCATATACCCACATATATTATATAACAGTCTACTTTGTACATATGTACATGGCGAGAAAAATGAATCTTGCCAGTTTTCCAGATGAGTAAGTAGAGCAGGGGTGTCAAATTCAAGGCCAGGGGGCTGGATTCAGCCTGTGGGGTGCTTAGATCTGGCCCGTGGGGCTGCCCTAGAAACAGCAAAGGACCAGCCTGCAGTGCCTCTTCCAGTGAAAATGGAGCTTGAGAGAGCCACATGCAGCCCTCTGAGGCTCCATTTTCAGTCATAACAGACTCCTACTACCCTCTGCCAAGGAAAATGGAGCTCGGGGTGGGTTCTCTGTTTTCCTTGGCAGAGGGTGGCAGGCCATAGTAGCTGAAAACAGATCTTGGGAGCCTGTTTTCACTGGTAGAGCACTCAGACCACCATAAGCGCCCCAGACATGAGTGACGTCGAACTGGCCATGCCCATCCCAGCCACACCCATCCTGGCCCCTGAGGTTGTCTACTAAGATTCCAAGATCCCTCTCACAATTACTGCTATTAAGGCTGGTTTCACCCAGCCTATATGTGTACTTTTGGTTTTTCTTGCTTAAGTGTAAGACTTTACTTTTCTCTACATTGAATTTCATTTTGTTAGAGAGGGCCCAGTGTTCAAGTCTGTCAAGATCCATCTGGATCTTGAGCCTATCTTCTAGGGTGTTAGCTATTCCTGCCAGTTTAGTATCACCTGCAAATTTGATAAGTTCCCCTTCTATTCCCTCATCTAAGTTGTTCATGAAAATATTGAAGAGTACTTGACCTAAGACGGAACCTTGTGGTACCCCACTGCTCACTTCCCTCCATGTAGACGTAGACCCATTAAGGACTCCTCGAGTATTGTTTGTCAGCCACTTGCGAACCCATCTGGTGGTGATGCTATCTAGCCCACTTTTTTCTAGCTTACCAAGAAATAGGTTGTGGTCTACTTTGTCAAATGCCTTGCTGAAGTCTAAGTATATTATGTCCACAGTATTTCGCTGGTCTACTGATTTAGTCACTATGTTGAAGAATGAAATAAGATTGGTTTGGCATGATCTGTTTTTAACAAACCTGTGCTGACTGCTAGTTATTACATTTCTAGATGTTGGAACATCTATTTTTTATTATTATTATCTTTTCCAGTATCTTCCCGGGTATTGATGGTAAGCTGATTGGTCTGTAGTTTTCTGGGTTTACTATTGATTCATCTAACACTGTCAGCCTGAAAATATGGATGACCATCTTCAAATGACTTACTGAGTTATTTTTCATTCCTTAATATATATAAAACTTTCCTCTATTCTATCAAACCACTCTTTTCATTTTACTTGGTAAACAGCAGCTATGTTCCATTGTAAGAAATGAATATTTGTTTGTTTGTTTGTTTGTTTATTTATTGAATATGAATTTATTCTCTTATTTTATTATTTTACTTTATTCCATTCATTAAATTTCTATACTGCCCACCTCACCTAAATGATTCTCGGAGGTTAGTTAAGCCAGTTTCATATTGCTAATCTGAATTATGCTACATGTCTAGGCATTTGCTCATTGGAAAAAGCATTGAGCCATCAGCCACTTATTCTCTCACCAAAAACAAAATAATTATATCTGGAGCAATCACTATATTTTCCTAACTACATCAAAACATCAAATGTAGAGAAGGGTGTTTAAATAAAAGAAACCATCAAGATATACGCTTGATGCTAATGTAGTTCTTGAACCCCAGGGAGTTTGGCACAAGAGGGAATAAGGGGTCTGTTAGATTCATTGCTTCAAGTTCCCTCCCTCCTTTCCTTCTGCCAAAATGTTATTTGAAATCTCGGTGATATGCAAAATATGAATTTGCACTCTCATGGATCTTCAGATAGAAAATGTTAGCTCTTCTCTGTCACTGCATTCTCAGATATAAAACTTGGATTAATCATTTGGAATCCATACTTCCTCGTGGGTAGGATGGAAGACACCAATATTTTCAGCATGCAGTGAAGATGTTGTTCCTTCTGATGTTCTTGGGGCACAAAGTAGTTGCTCTGAGCTGCCCTGCAAGAGCTATTTTTCCTGTCCCTCATGAGTGGTACCACCCTGGTGATCTCGTCATCGGTGGGATAATGTCTCACATCGTTTACCACTTACATAAAATTCAATTTAAGGAGCATCCCTCTCTAAAACCTTCTGACTTACCACTGTAAGAATTTCCCCCCTTTTTTCTAAGCTTAACCAGATTCTCAAGCATTGCATAAATGAGTAAGAGCTATTTGAGGATAACTCTTAATATTGTAAGTTTTGTATGGAATCTAACCCTTCTACATGTTTCAAGAGAATGTAGTTGTTGAGAAGAATAGAATAGAATAGAATAGAATAGAATAGAATAGAATAGAATAGAATAGAATAGAATAGAATAGAATAGAATAGAATAGAATTCTTTATTGGCCAAGTGTGATTGGACACACAAGAAATTTGTCTTTGGTGCATATGCTCTCAGTGTACATAAGGAGAATAAAATACATTCATCAAGAATAAAAAGATACAACACATAGTGATAGTCAAAGTTACTAATAAACTATCAAATAGTACTAGAAAACAAATAAAAACAATATAAATTGAAAGATACAAGCAACATGGTTATAGTAATAAGTGGGAAGAGATAGATAATAGGAAGTATGAGAAGAATAATAGTAATACAGTCTTATTTGACAGTTTTGTGGGAATTAATTGTTAAGCAGAGTGATGGCATTCGATAAAAAATTGTCCTTGTGTCTAGTTGTTTTGGTGTGCAGTGCCCAATAGCATCGTTTCGAGGGTAGAAGTTGAAATAGTTTATGTCCAGGATGTGAGGGGTCTGTAGGTATTTTCACAGCCATCTTTTTGATTCGTGCAGTATACAGATCCTCAATGGAAGGCAGGTTGGTAGCCATTGTTTTTTCTGCAGTTCTAATTATCCTCTGAAATCTGTATCTGTCTTGTTGGGTTGCAGAGCCAAACCAGACAGTTATGAAGGTGCAGATGACAGACTCAATAATTCCTCTGTAGAACTGAATCAGCATTTACATTGTATTAAAATAAATCATTCCTATGAAATGAATGAACAATATGTCATTCCAACAGGTGATTGGTACAATAGGTTTTTGGGAAAAAAAACATTGAGTTTAAGGTAATTTAAAACAAATCTGCATGGCCACTCATCACAAAAGATGGAAACACTGAATGAATGATACCTAATGGAACTGTTCCTATTCTATTTATTGTTAAATTGGTAGAAATATATGAAATAACTTGAAAAACAGTAACTTTTTATTTGTTGTAATACATCTGTGTTGCAAATCATGGAAATATTGTCTAAAAAGTATGATATATTTGGGTTAAATATTGGCTGCAAATCATAGAAATTCTGTGGAAAAAGTACATTTGAACTTTCTGCAAATCTTTTAGAAAGCTGTTATCTTCCTAGTTCCATGAGATATAGAATAGATTTTTATTCTTAGAGAAGTAATGTTGCTTTACATACATTGTCAATTTTTTCAATGAGAATATTTAAATTACTTGCAGTGTGATAACCAAATTCTACCAACACATCCTTGCCTTGTCCTTTGCTGTGAAGGAGATCAATGAGGACTTCCAGATCTTACCTAACATCACTCTTGGGTTCCACATCTATGATAGTTATCATAATCCAAGGATGACCTATCGCACCACTGTGGACCTGCTTTTCAAATCCCAGGAATTTGTCCCTAACTACAAATGTGATAGCCAGAAGAATCTCATGGCCATCATTGGGGGACTAAGTCCTGATACATCATCTTATATAAATGAACTTGTAGGTTTCTTCAAGATTCCACAGGTAAATATGTAGGGATTGGGGGGGGGAGGAAACCTGTGTGTCATTGTTATTATAGCAAAATTACTGAGCATCAGATATAAGTCTTAGATTTATAATACAAATTTCTGCAGGGCTTAAGGTAAACTACTTAGCCTTTTTTTAAAAAAGTACAATGCCAATCATAGAAGTGTCCCAAAATATACAGAGGCATCCATACTTGAAGGCAGATTTCAATGTAGCCCTCTCTGCTCCTATTAAAACGATTTATCTACTATACCGTTGATCTAGTACCATAGTTTGAAATAATTTCTAGAATTTCATTCTATATTTAGAGGAATTCCAGGAAAAAAATATCCTAACTTGGATATATTTACATGAATTCTTGACCTGAAGAGATCACATCAATAGCTAACAACTGAACAGAATAGTATTCTGCTTTTTTTAGCTGACCTATGGCTCATTAGCCCAAGAGGAATTTCAGAGCAATAAGCGATCTTCACTTTATTTCATGGTCCCAAAAGAGGACCATCAGCACATTGGGATTGTCCAACTGCTTCATCATTTCAGCTGGACATGGATTGGGATTTTTGCTGTAGATAACAACAATGGAGAAAATTTCTTACAGGAATTGGAGCCCCTACTTTCACAGAATGGCATCTGCTCATCATTCATTCAAAGGCTTTCACAACTCATCAACCTGGCAGACTTCAAAGAAATTTATCTCCAAGTTTGGAGCATTTCCATTAATTTGATGAATAGCAAAGCCAAGACATTTCTTGTCTATGGAGAATCATTGACCATAATGACTCTCAGAGGTGTCACATTTCTGGAAGATTCTGGAAATAAGACAACTGCATTACTTGGAAAGGTGTGGATCATGACTGCACAGATTGATTTTACGCTCTCGGGCCTTCAAATCACGTGGGATCTCCAGATGTTCCATGGGGCTATTTCCTTCACAGTTCATTCAAGAGCAGTTGCAGGTTTCAAGGAATTTCTTCAGACTATCAAACCTCATTCAGGCTGCAGAGATGGATTTCTGCAGGATGTTTGGGAACAAGCATTTGATTGTGCATTTCCAAAACCAGAGTTACAAGAAATGCAGAGTAAAAAATGCACTGGGGAGATGAAGCTGGAGGATCTTCCTGGACCTGCCTTTGAAATGGAGATGACAGGCCAAAGCTACAGCATCTACAATGCTGTTTATGCTGTGGCTCATGCTTTGAAAGCTCTATGCACATTGCATTTCAATAGAAAAAAAACCATGAGGTGTAAAAATCCTGAGCTTCCAGATCTGCAATCTTGGCAGGTATTCTCTCTCCATTGGACACTTCTTTTATTGCAATGAAAACTTTGGTGAGGAATTATGTTTTGAACCAATCAGGGGTGGGTTCTAAATTTTTTACTACCGGTTCTGTGGGCATGGCTTATTTTGTGGGTGTGGCTTAATGGTCATGTGACAATTATTTAGGATTTAGCAGAGGTATTGGTCTACCAGGCTTTTAACTGCTTGCAGAGCTGTACTGATCTACCCATTTATTTTTGCAGGCACTGATCTATTCATGTATTTTTGCAGGCAGTGGTCTACCCATTTATTTTTGCAGGCATCGGTCTACTCTTTTGTTTTCTTTTAACACTGATCAGCTGTTGGGTGGTCCTTTGAAGCTCCACGGCAAGAGTTTAAACAGTTTTTTTCCCTCTAGCCATCAGCTGGGACTCAGGAGACAGCAATTGATTGGGGGTGGGGCCAAATAAAAGGTAAAAATAACACAGGGGGTGGGTGGCGGGGTGGGGGGCATGGGGGGCAGAACCGGTTCGGTGACATCATATCGTCACCGATACCGGCTCTGCGGAACCGGGCTGAACCAGGAGGAACCCACCACTAGAACCAATTATGCATAGTCTTCACATTTTTATGCTTATGGAATAAAGTTAATGTATGATAATTGAGAAGCTACTATATAAATCATGATTTACATTTTAATAGGGTTTATGTAGGAAAGCAACATAGTTTGCCCACTAAGACATGGTTAAAATTAAGTCCTTGATCACTTCCATTTTAGAATCTCTAAAAATAGCCAGTACCCCAAGTTACTTCGGTTTGGCTTCTGAAGTTTTAAGGTGGAGAAGCTATCAGAATTCAAGAGGAATGTCTGAGATGTATGAAATTAATACTACTGTATAAAGCCTTAGTAAGACCACACCTAGAGTACTGCATCCAGTTTTTGTCACCACACTATAAAAAAGATGTTGAGACTCTAGAAAAAGTGCAGAGAAGAGCAACCAGGATGATGAGGAGACTGGAGGCTAAAACATACGAAGAACGGTTGCAGGAAGTGGACATGGCTAGTCTAGTGAAGAGAAGGTCCAAGGGAGACATGATAGCAGTCTTCCAATATTTGAGGGGCTGCCACAGAGAGGAAGGGGTCAAACTATTTTCCAAAGCACCTGTAGGCCAGACAAGGAATAATGGATGGAAATGGGTCAAGGAGAGATTCAACCTGGAAATAAGGAGAAATTTTCTGACAGTGAGAGCAATCAACTAGTGGAACAGCTTGCCTTTGGAAGTTGTGGGAGCTTCATCACTTGAGACTTTCAAGAAGAGATTGGACTGCCATTTGTCCAAAATGATATAGGGTCTCCTGCTTGGTGGAGAGTTGGACTAGATGACCTACAAGGTCCCTTCCAACTCTGTTAATCTGTTAAAATGTAGCCCTTTTCAGTTATGGCCTTCACTCTTTGGAAAATAGCAGTAGCACTTAAGGTTAAGGTTAGGTTAAGGTTTATTAAATTTGTATACCGCCCTTCTCCTGAAGGACTCAGGGCGGTGAACAGCCAAGATTAAAATACATACAATATAAAAATTAAAATAAATTAAAACAGAATTAAATCAAATTGGCTTCCCAAAATTTAAAACCCTTTGCCCATAAAATAACCCATTAAAATTTTAAGCCAGCCCGGCTTGCTGAAATAGGAAGGTCTTCAAAGCTTGACGGAAAGTACGGAGGTCCGGGATCAGTTGTATTCCTGGGGGTAGCTCGTTCCAGAGGATGGGTGCCCCCACAGAGAAGGCTCTCCCCCTGGGGGTCATCAGTCGACATTGCTTGACCGATGGCACCCTGAGGAGACCCTCTCTGTGGGAGCGGATTGGCTGGTGGGAGGTTATCGGTGGCAGAAGGTGGTCTCGTAAATACCTGGGCCCTAAGCCATGGAGCGCTTTAAAGATGAGAACCAATACCTTGAAGCGCACCTGGAAGACCACCAGGAGCCAGTGCAGCTCGCGCAGGAGAGGTGTTACATGGGAGCGCCATGTCGCCCACATAATAACCAGCATGGCCGCATTCTGGACCAGCTGGAGCCTCCGGGTGTTCCTCAAGGGAGCCCCATGTAGAGATTATTGCAGTAGTCCAGGTGAGAGGTGACGAGGGCGTCACCTCTCGCCTGTATATAGACTTATATACTGCTTTACCATGCTTTTACAACCCTCTCTAAGCGGTTTACAGAGTCAGCCTCTTGCCCGCATCAATTTGGGTCCTCATTTTACCCACTTCGGAAGGATGGAAGGGTGAGTCAATGTTGAAAAACTATCTTTGTAAGAATCTCTCTCTCTCCTATCTATCTAAATCTAACATTATAAAAGCAGGTTAAACCAAATTTGTCTATCCCAGGCTCCAAAAAATTTTTGTACCAATTTAGAAGGAAAAGATGAGGATACAATGAGATACAGTCTAGATTTAATATTTTTTTTTAAAAAATAGCGAACTTAAATCACATCCAATAGACTCTTTTTATTCTGCTTTGGTTCTTTGATGTTGTTTTTTTATCCTTCCTTAAAATAATATGTATTTAATAATAGAGGACATCTGTACATATCCAATTTTCATTATCTAGGTGTACCTGTTTGATAATTATTATAGAAATGGGAATAATGTGTGAATGAAACTTGAATATACCTCTCCATTGTTATCTTTTCAATTCCCTCTCTTTTCCCTTCTCTTTCAAGTAGCTCCATCCATTTCTTCAAGGCATTTCTTTTAACAATACAGCCGGAGAGACAGTGTTCCTGAATGACAAAGGAGAAGCAATGGGTGGATTTGACATCATTAATTTCATCCCTTTTCCAAATCGATCCTTTCAGAGAGTTAGAGTTGGAAAAATAGATCCTCATGCTCCAAAAGAGAAGGAATTATTCATTGATAAAGATAGGATTGTCTGGCACCCAGCTTTTAATCATGTATGGAGTCATTTAATCAACTATTTTTTAGTATTATATTTTTTATTTTATTTTTAAAATATACATCCATATTGTGTGTGGACAGAGTTGGTTCTGGGTATCATTCATATTAATCCAATTTGCAGTAACAATATTAGTAATCTCTTTCACATTTATCAAATTTAAGTAATTCTCACTATATTGTTTAAACATACATAAACAAAAATGCCTTTTTTATTTTCCTTGGGGTTAATTTTTAAGTAGAAGAAGAATCATGTCACCCAGAAACAATCTCTGTTCACTATTCTCTCTGTTCCTGCACTTTCTTAGGTGTTCTGTCTGTCCCCAGCTTCATGGCAGCCATGTTATCTGCTGCTGCTCCTCATTTTCGGATGAGGGGGATTTTCCAAGTCAGGGAGGAGAGATGTAGCTCTCCTTGACCTGCAAGGCACCCCCCCTTTACTTCACTACCCCTACAGGGTGGCTATAGCTCCTTTCAGAGCCCTCCAATGTGGAGAGCTTGGAGCAGGGCCACAGAGCTTGTGGTCCTTGCCTCTGATGCCACTGGAAGCACAGCCAGAAGTCAATCTATTTAATCAACTATTATCTGATCCATTATGGTTTTGATCCATTTTAATCCCAAACTGAAAATATTTTCTTTAGAAATACAAGTTCTGCTTTTTAAAGAAAAAAAGGGCAAATTTTGTCCAAATGTCTTCTGAAGCATTGAGATAATGACATTCTAATATAAAAGTCACATTTTCATATCTGGGTTGCATTTCTCTTTGAAATCATAGCTGTTGCATCATTTCAATAACATTGTCATCATGCATATGAGGGAAGTCACCCCTCCTAGAAGAATGAAATATTTTGAGAAATATTTAAAAAGGCAGTATATTATATTTCCCCTAAAAGAGAAATAGATAGTAGAGGACAGGAAGGCCTGGAGGACGTTGTCCATGGGGTCACAATGTGTTGGATATGACTTCACAACTAACAACAAAAGAGAAATAGAAATCTTAAGGGAGACAGAAACTCAGCCCCTGCTCCTTGTCCCCAGCAGATATTTGGGGCCCATTTAGAAGAACTGGGCCAGCCTATCTACAAAACAAAAGGTCTTCAACTCCATGGTGATGGGATTAAGACATGACTCTCCAGGACATAATAGGATTATCTAGCAGCAGAGCTCACCACATTGCAAAATCACCTAGGGACATTGCATCATCCTCCAGACTTTAACCAAACTTCTCAGACAACCTACAGGTTTAGCTATGACCCCTACAACAACCAATAGAATACATGTTCTTGCACAGGAACAGGAAACTCAAGGGCAAGGCCCAAGAGAAGGTATAAATAACCATCATTCTCAACTCCATGTGGTCAGCTGCCCAGAATCACCCATGTGCTTCTGATTCACCATTAAACCCTCTTTCCAATCGGCCTCCTGCCTTGGAACTGAACCAGATGGATATTTCTTCCAACAATTATTTCTCTTCTCACACTGGCCGTCTACAAGTATTGCTGTTGTGCATCCTCGCAATTTCAAAATCTTCTTAATGGGTAGTATAAATCCAACTGGATAAATTCACTAGTCCTTTAGGAAGTCAAGGGTTTGTTCTCCTCATAAAGGAGAAACATTAATAACTATTTTTAAAATCTCATTTTTAATGTTTATCACCAGGTTCTTCCATTTTCTCGATGCAATGACCCCTGTTTCCCTGGATCCTGGAAGAAAGGGATTGAGGGGGAACAGTTCTGTTGCTATAACTGTGTTCCATGCCCAGAAGGGAAGATTTCAAATGAAAATGGTAAGTCAGTCAGTCAGTCAGTCTGTTTCTTTCTATCTATCTATCTATCTATCTATCTATCTATCTATCTATCTATCTATCTATCTATCTCTATCTATCTATCATCTATCATCTATCATCTATCATCTATCATCTATCATCTATCATCTATCATCTGTCTGTCTGTCTGTCTGTCTGTCTGTCTATCATCTTTCATCTATCTATCTATCCCATCAATTGACTGCCATTTTACCACAGGGTAACTCTGGGTAGCTTACAATATTGAAAATAATACTAAAGAAATAAAATACTACAAAGTATAAAACTATAAAATACTATAGCTAAAAGATGGGGAGGAAGAGATTAGATACATCTAAGCAAATACACTACGTTAGCACACCTATAATTAATAGTTTTATTAGTTCTTCAGACTGAATACTATTTTCTATGGCTCACAATTTGTTGTTCAAGAGTCAAAGATTGCCTGCCTGCTTATCTATCTATCTATCTATCTATCTATCTATCTATCTATCTATCTATTCATCATCATCATCATCTATATCTATCCATTGAGCCATAGATCCTCTAATATGATCTATAACTATTTATATGTTTTTCATATTTTCAAACTGTTTGCATTAGTTTGGCTGTTCACAGAAACAAAATATTAAAATAGACTCAGGAAATATTAAGCATTTTTTAAAAACAAAATTACCTTGATGTCTCTTACATCTTCTTTTCACAAAACACATATGAATATATCATTGAAGTATATGGGCATTGTAGTTAAAATTTAAATCAATAATAGTGTAAAGTTCAAGAAAAAGGCTTTTGCTTGACTCAGGTCACTTAGGTGAAAATCCATGAAGACATTTTTTTTTTCATTTGAGCTGCCATCTTCTAGACCTTCTCTTTCATAAAACTTGAATGTGAGAGAAAAGAAACGAAGATTTGTCAGACAGAGGAAAATTTGTGAATAGACCAGATATGCTACTTCAAAGGGACATACAGTAGAACCCTGGATATTTACAGAACCAAGTAACATTTTTTTACACAGAACACAAAAGGATCACAAAGACCACAATAAAGTTCCAGGATCTGACTTATATGTCTTTCTTATCTTGACAGAAAATGTAGGTGACAGTATTTGCTTAAAGACCCCACATTTTATTCAAATAAAAAGACTGATCACTCCTTACTTTATTCCTTTAGTATGTTCTATAGCAGCGGTGTCAAACTCAATTTCATTGAGGGCCGCATCAGGGTTGTGCTTGACCTCGGGGGGCTGGGGTGGGCGTGGCCAGAGTGGGCATGGCCATCATGATGTCACTCATGTTGGGGGGTGCCTGTGGTGGCCTGAGTGTTCTGCCAGCAAAAATGGGCTCCCAAGCTCAGTTTTCAGCTGGGACAGCCTCTTTCAACCCTCTGCCAATGAAAATGGAGCTGGGGGCCCCCACACGCGGCCCTCACAATCTCCATTTTTGGCTTGGATGGCCTCCTGCAACCCTTTGCCAGTAAAAACAGAGCTCGGGAGGGCTGCGCGCGGTCCTCACGAGCTCTGTTTTCACTGGCAGAGGCACCATGGGCTGGTCCTTTGCTGCATCCAGGGTGGGCCTGTGGGCCAGATCTAAGCATCTCATGGGGCAGGATCCAGGCCCCAGGCCTTGAGTTTGACACCCCTGTTCTATAGGAAAGAGAAAAGTTAAAAGAATTTAAATGAATGAAAGTGCTTTGCTCCTCAGAGTCAGTACTTCTGCTTCTGTCACTGAAGTCTTATATCCATCATCACATTTTTTTTTTCTTCGTATTTTGGGGGGAAATGAGAAAAGTTCAAATATTCTATATTAAAATAAACTTGAAAATTTTAGAAAGGATGGCTTATCAAAGAATAATTAATCTTCTCATTGTTCTTTCTTTTATAATCAGCCCTGAATAATACAATTGAGGAAAAACTGCATTTTAGAATAGAATAGAATAGAATAGAATTCTTTATTGGCCAGGTGTGATTGGACACACAAGGAATTTGTCTTGGTGCATAAGCTCTTGGTGTACATAAAAGAAAAGATACATTTATCAAGAATCATAAGGTGCAACACTTAAAGATAGTCATAGGGAAACAATCAATATAAATCTTAAGGATACCGGCAACAAGGTTACAGTCATACAGTCATAAGTGGGAGGAGATGGGTGATAGGAACAATGAGAAGGTTAATAGTAATGCAGACTTAGTAACTAATTTGACAGTGTTGAGGGATTTATTTGTTTAGCAGAGTGATGGCATTCAGGAAAAACCTCTTCTTGTATCTAGTTGTTCTGGTATGCAGTGCTCTATAGTGTCGTTTTGAGGATAGGAGTTGAAACAGTTTATGTCCAGGATGCGAGGGGTCTATAAATATTTCCACAGCCCCCTTTTTGACTCATACAGTATACAGGTCCTCAATGGAAGGCGGGTTGGTAGTAATTGTTTTTTTCTGCTTTCTGTTTTCATAGAAACATGACCATACTGGTGACCAGTGGAAAAAATTAAAAATGAATAACAGTTGTCACACATTCAAAAGTAATTATAAGAAATATGAAATACATGGATGTTGAATTCTTTGTCTTTTTTTCCTCAGATATGGAAGATTGTTTTGAATGTTCAGAAGATCATTATCCAAATAAGGAAAAAAAAGGATGCATCCTGAAATTGGTGTTGTTTCTAACCTTGGAAGAAACCTTAGGAATTGGTTTAGTCTCAGCAGCTCTTTGTTTCTTCTTCTTGACATCTTGGATACTTGGAACTTTTATTAAGTACAGGAATACTCCCATTGTCAGAGCCAACAACCGGTCCCTCACCTACACCCTCCTTGTCTCTCTTCTGCTCTGTTTTCTCTCCTCTTTGTTCTTCCTCAGTCAGCCTGGCAAAGTGACTTGCCTTCTCCGACAATCAGCTTTTGGCATCACTTTCTCAGTGGCCATTTCTAGTGTATTGGCCAAAACGATCACTGTGGTTGTGGCTTTCATGGCCACTAAACCAGGATCTCAGATGAGGAAATGGGTGGGGAAAAGATTGGCTTTTTGTACTGTCCTTTTCTGTTCTCTCTTCCAGGTATGTATTTGTATTCTTTGGTTGTCAATATCTCCCCCATTCCCTGAATTGGACATGCACTCAGAGCTCAAGGAAATGATTTTACAGTGTAATGAGGGGTCAGCTTTCTTCTTCTACTGTGTCTTGGGCTACATGGGTATCTTGGCCATTGCCAGCTTTATTGTAGCTTTCCTTGCCCGTAAATTACCTGACAGCTTTAATGAAGCCAAGTTCATCACCTTCAGCATGTTGGCCTTTTGCAGTGTGTGGATCTCCTTCTTTCCAGCCTATCTGAGCACAAAAGGCAAAGCCATGGTAGCTGTGGAGGTCTTCTCCATCTTGTCCTCCAGTGCTGCATTACTGGGATGCATATTCTTGCCAAAGTGCTACATCATTGTTTTACGGCCACAGCTCAACCACCGGAAGCAACTCATAAAGAAGAATTAGTGTACCACATGTTATTTCTCAGTAGGAGAAATTGCTCTCTAAAAAGAATAAAAAGACTGCTTGACCAGTAGAGAAAACATATAAGTTTTTCTTTCTGTCACAGAAAATTTGTTGAGTATTATTCTTATTATAAGATTAATAAGGAAGTAGTTGTTTTGACTGCCCCAAATACCCTTTCCATTTCATCAGGTCCAATGGCATCAGTGTTCTCAGATAACAGGTTAAATCTGTTTTCCAAACATCATGCATTATCTTTGGACTCGAACTGAGAACAAATCTGATCCATCAGGAATTGCTTCTCTGCAAAGTCCTGAAGATGATAATCTGAACTCTGCTTTCTGAGGAGGGACTGGATGATCTTGAACATGATTAGGGGACTGGAGGCTAAAACATATGAAGAACGGTTGCAGGAACTGGGTATGTCTAGTTTAAATGAAGAGAAGGACTAGGGCAATACTACTACGTAGATGCAATAAGTGGAGATAAATATTGGTTTTTTTACTGCTCTTACCTTAAGACCTTAGAGTAGGTCTTAATCAGAGCTCTGACCTGTGGTTGGTCAGATTCATTCTTTTCCTCCAGCAGCACTCTAGGCATCACTTTACCTCACTCTCAGCTCCTCCATTAACCATGGCGAGTGTCAAGGCTCATGGGGCAGAAGAGGGAACATTGCTAGGGTCCTGTCCAGGTTGTCAGGGATTCTCTGATTCCAGATTGCAGTCAGTGTAACATAAGGTGGTCCATCTGTCATCAAGGGAAGACTATTTGAATAGGTCCAGCATTTACAAGAAGAGTCCTCCATTCTTCTACTCACAATAAAATACCTTATGCCACCAGACCCCAAATTTTGGGCTTAGACAACTTTAGAACTATGCCAACTTCAGTCTGACCTAAGCATAGTACATAAAATTATCTGCCACAATGCCCTACCTGTCAATGACTACTTCAGCTTCCACTACAACAATACAGAAGCAAATAATAGATACAAACTCAAGGTAAACCGTTCCAAACTCGATTGCAGAAAATATGACTTCAGTAACAGAATGGTCAATGCCTGGAATGCACTACCTGACTCTGTAGTTTCTTCCCCAAACCCCCAAAACTTTAACCTTAAACTGTCTACTGTTGACCTCACCCCATTCCTAAGAGGTCTGTAAGGGGCGTGCATAAGTGCACCAGCGTGCCTACCGTCCCTGTCCTAATATTCCTTTTTACTTACCCTTTTCATGTATTCAAATTATGTTTATTCTTTTATCTGTTGTCTTATATATGCTTGACAAAATAAATAAATAAATAAATAAATAAATAAATAAACAAATAAATAAATATTTTGTTTATTTAATAAAGAATATTAAAGAGAGGGGCAATTGACAGATTACATTGTCACTGGTCAGACAAGAAGATCATATCTGGAATGTGACACAGTCTTGACTTGGGCATGGATAGGCCCATAGCTGTCATGATGGCCAGGAACTCCTTCGCTGTTTCCAAGATCAAACAGCAATGCCAAGCAGATTGAAGTCCCTCAGGACCTGGGGAACTCCACTGCCAAGACTGAGATGGCCTCCAGAAGCAGGACGTTTGCTATGTAGCAGGGATACTAGAATGGGTTTTATTGCGTTCATCTTGAGCTGAATGCCACTGGCATCATCTTGATGTTCTTCCTCTAGTATTTCATATGCTTTTGCTGTCTGAATGTTGACCTGCTGGATGGAACAGAAATGTACAGTCACTATCAACTTCCTGTTTTTGCTCAGAAGAGCAAGCAAAATTAGTCAGTGTGGACTTCGGGCACAGTAACACAGCAGTGTCAGCAGCTGATAGGTAGTTCAACTGAAGGGAAAACTCACCTTGGACTTGTCTGAAGAAATGGTGATGCAGCGTTGAAGAGAAGGTGAAAAAGCCTTGCTCCCATCATGGGGAAGATTCTGGCAATCCATTCTAAGCCGTGTCCTGGAAGCTGACCGACCCAGTCCCAGCCATACTTAAAGTCAGTGATGGAGGCACCAGTAACTTTACAGAGCAAATTGAGATTTTGCCCTGGTCTTACAGTTTCAGGCCCTGATGATACAAGTTGCACCTCAGTGCCTGCCACATGACCACAGAGACGTCTTCAGACAGCACTGGCTCTTCGGCTTTATTTGAGCACCACCCCCTAGAGTCAGGAACGACTAGCACATATGTGTGAGGGGAACCTTTACCTTTACCTACACCATCCGGCTCACCTAAGTGACTCTGGGCTGTTTTCCCTATGTAATAAAACCATATAAAAACATGACTAAAAAACATAGCTTAAAATGGATTAACAACAAGTTAAATCTTACATGGAAAAATACATCAATTTAAAACTTGAAGGGAAGGAAGTTAACAGGACAGCAGGAGTATCCTCTGACCACCAAGCATCCCCAGAGCTGCAACATACTTTTAGAGTAACCAGGATGATTAGGGGACTGGAGGCTAAAACATACGAAGAACGGTTGCAGGAACTGAGCATGGCTAGTCTAGTGAAGAGAAGGACCAGGGGAGACAGGATAGCAGTCTTTCAATATTTGTGGGGCTGCCCCAGAGAGGAGGGTGTCAAGCTCTTTTCCAAAGCACCTGAAGTCCAGACAAGGAATAATGGATGGAAACTGAACAAGGAGAGATTCAACCTAGAAATAAGGAGACATTTTCTGACAGTGAGCACAATCAACCAACGGAACAGAAGTTGCCTTCAGAAGTTGTGGAGCTTCATCACTGGAAGCTCTCAAAAGAGACTGAACTGCCATCTGTCAAAAAAGGTGTAAGGTCTGCTTGGATGGGGGGTTGGACTAGATGACCCACAAGGTCCCTTCCAACTCTCTTAATCTATTAATCTGCCCCCATGCTCATTGTCAAAGCCAGACTTTAACATACTTTGGGAAAACTGTAAGAATGGAATCTTGCCTCAGTTCTGGAGGTTAGATATTCCATAAAATGGGAGGAAAGGCCCTTTTCTTAGATCCCACCAGTCAAAACTCCTTATTCAACTGATACCAAGCTAGACTGGGTGAGATGTGTTGATGCAATTGGGACTTTAAAGGTGATAACTGACACCTTGAATTGGACTCAGAAAAAAATGTGAGTGTTTCACTGAATATAGAAGATGGTAGATTTTGGCATGGCTATCAGAGAAGAGAAAAACAGCATATGTGGTGGACATGTCCCAAAGCAAAAAAAATACTGGAAGAAAATACACACATGGTTGGAAACAATGACAAAACAACACATAGATTTGAAACATGAGACATTCTTGCTGGGCATGCTCCCAGGAAACTATAATAAGGGTAACACATATTTAATTTTACATTTTCTAACAGCAGCCAGGACTGTATATGCACAATACAGGAAAAATCCACAAACCTCTATAGATGAGGATATAATCAAAAAAATTCTGGAATGTGCAGAAATGGATAGCTAAAAATCAAAGGAAAAGAAGACTCGGAATATTTTATAACATGGGAACTATTCTACAAATAGTTAATTGACAGATACTGAGGTTAGAACAGTGGATTTATGAGAAATATGGACTACATGAGAAAGAAAAACTGATGAGTAAATATTTTGATGGTTATATAATCAATACTATAGTGGAAAATAGTAAACTTTTCAATAATGATTGATATTATCGCATATATGTTTATGTATATATCAGGGGTGGGTTCTAACATTTTTTACTATCACTTTTGTGGGTGTGGCTTATTTTGTGGCCATGGTTTGATGGTCATGTGACAATTATTTAGGATTTAGCAGAGGTACTGGTCTACCAGGCTTTTAACTACTTGCAGAGCTGTACCGGTCTACCTATTTGTTCTTGGAGCGTTCCGGTCTACCCATTTGTTTTTGGAGGCACTGGTCTACCCATTTGTTTTTCGAGCACACTGGTCTACCACCACACTGCCTTTTAACACTGATCAGCTGTAGGGCAGCCCTTTGAAGCCCCGTGACAAGAGTTTAAACAGGTTTTTTTTCCTTCTAGCCGATCAGCTGGGATTCAGGAGGCAGTGAATAGATTGGGGAAGGAACCAAATAAAAGGTAAGAATAATGCAGGTGGGGGAAGGGCCCAGCTCCCGAACAAAGAGAACCGGTTTGGTGATGTCATATCGTCACCGCTACCGGCTCGGCCGAACCGGGCCGAACCAGGAGGAACCCACCACTGATATATATGATTATAATGATTATGATGATGTTTATATGTTAACACTTCGGACACCTAGAAAACACACTGTAAAACAGAAATGGAATATGTGATATAAAACATTAAAAAAATATTTAATAGAAAAACAGCAAGAAATTCATAGTATATTTTTAAATGAATTTCCTCCAGTTTGACATGTACAGTACAATTTGAAGAAAAAACTCTAGAAGGAAGGGGAAGTAGCAAAGGGGAAGGAGAGGAAGAAAGAAGAAAGTAGAAGAGGATAGAAGAAGGGAGGGAAGGAAAAGAAAGGAGAAGGAGAAGAAGGATTGTTGTAAAATAAGGGAGATGGAATAGTAGAAGAGCAACCCTGAGTATACTCAAATTTTTTAGGATGAAGAATGAACTAATATGATAGTTAAAATAGAATAAGTATGATTAACAATGAATAAGAGACTGAAAATTTAAGACATGTTTATGAGAAATAAAATAAAGAAAAATTTCAAAAAAAAAAAGAAAGAAAGAAAAAACTCTAGATTAATTAAGCCTGTTTCATATCACTAAGCTCACTGATACAACATTTTTGGCATTTGCTTGTTTCAAAAAGAGTTGAACAAGTCGCTTATTTTCTCACCCAAAAACAAAATAATTATCTCTATAAGATAATTTTCCTAGGTACTTCAAAACATCAAAGAGGGCAAAGAAGGGTATTTAAATGAACAATCACCAAGGTATATATTAGGTTATAAAGTTGTTCTTGAACCCCAGGGAGTTTGGCACAAGAGGGAATAAGGGGTCTGCTAGATTCATTTCTTCAAGATCTCTCCCTTCTTTTCTTCTGCCACAGTATCTATTGAAACCCCAGTGATAAAACAAGATACAACTTTGACTCACTTGGATCTTCCGTTAGAAAATGATAGATCTTCTCATTTAGTTGCCTTCCCAGATCTAAACCTTGGATTAATCATTTGATTAATCATTGGAATCTACGCTTCTCTATGCATAGGATGGAAAACACATATATTTTCAGCTTTAATAAACAGAGAAGATGTTGTTCCTTCTGATGTTCTTGGGACACAAAGTAATTGCTCTCAGCTGCCCTGAAAATGATGTTTTGGCTGTCCCACACGAGTGGTACCATCCTGGTGATCTTGTCATCGGTGGGATATTGTCTCACATCATTTACCACAGTTATGAAACTGAATTTAAGGAGCATCCCTCTGTGGAACCTTTTGACTTACCAATGTAGGATTTCCCCCCCTTTTTCTAATCTTAATCAGATTTTCAAAAATTGCTTAAATGAGTAAAAGTTCATTTTACTCTGAAGTAGAAGTAGTTCCATATGGAATCTAAACATTCTCCATGTTTCAAATAAATGTAGTCGTGGGGTAGAAATAGATTGGGTTGTTGTTGTTTTTTACATCACATTAAAGTCTTTCTCATGAAATGAATGACACTTTGGTGTAATATGTTTTGGAAGAACATTTAGTGAGTGTAAGGATAGTCTCAGGGCCTTAGCTCGGCATTCCATCCGAGCACCAATGGGGGAGCAGAGAGATTAAACTCCATGGTAGAACAGTACTTGAGGTGCTAATCGAACTACCAGCAGTCCAATGGAGCTGACCTTCTGCCATTCACAGAGATTGCTTACAATAATGCTGTTCACAGTAGCACAGGGTCCTAACAAAACATACAACAAATAACACCTCCTGAATCAATTCATATTCTTTTTTGTGCTAAACTGGGAGAAATAAATGGGGTACCTTAAAAAAAAAAAGCAGTAACTAATTTTATTTGTTATAATACATCACTGTTGCAAGCAATAATTGCAAACTGTCTAAAAAGTACAAAATATTTGGGAGTAGATAGGCGTTGCAAATCATGGGAATACTATGGAAAAAAAAGATCAATTTGAACTTTGGGTAAATCATTGACTTTTTTAGAAAGGCTATTATGTTCCTAGCTCCAACAGAGCCAGAATGGATTTTTATTCATAGAGAAGTAATGTCGCCTTACAATAATTGTCACTTTTTTCAATGGGTTTATTTAAATTATTTGTAGTGTAATAATCAAATTCTACCAGCACATCCTTGCCTTGGCCTTTGCTGTGAAGAAGATCAATGAGGACCCTCAGATCTTATCTAACGTCACCCTTGGGTTCCACATCTATGACAGTTATCACAATCCTAGGATGACCTATCGCACCACTCTGGATTTGCTTTTCAAATCTCAGGAATTTTATCCAAACTACAAATGTGATAACCAGAAGAATCTCATGGCCATCATTGGAGGGTTAGGTTCTGCTACTTCACATTATATGGATGAAATTGTAAGTTCCTTCAAGATTCCACAGGTAAATATGTATGGCTGGGGAGAAAAATTCTATATGTGTTTTTTTTTTTGTTTGTTTGTTATTATGGCATAATTCCTGATCATCAGTTATAAGACTTAGATTTATATTTCAAATTTCTGTAGGATGTAAGATAGAGTACTTAGCACTTTTTGGGGGAAACTACAATGCAAACCTAGAAGTGAATGTCCCAAAATATTCAGGATCATCCATATCTAAGGGAACATTTAATATAGTTCTCTCTGCTCCTATTAAAAACCATTGATCTATTATATGTGTTTGAAATGATTCCAGGAAATTCCATCCTATATTTAGAGGAATTCCAGGAAAAAAACAACATTCCTGTCAGAATTGCCATCTCCCACCTGCACATGGCATCCACCCTCTCAATTCCTGGCAAATAGATGAGGAAGAGTAGAGGTAGTGACAGATTTTATTTTCCTGCGCTCCAAGATCACCGCAGATGAGGACTACAGCCAAGAAATTAAAAGAAGCTTGCTCCTGGGGAGGAAAGCCATGGCAAATCTAGACAGCATACTAAAAAGCAGAGACATCATTCTGCCAACAGAAGTGTGTATAGTCAAGGCTATGGTTTTCCCAGTTGCAATGCATGGCTGTGAAAGTTTGACCAAAAGAAAGGCTGAGTGCCAAATAATTGAGGCTTTTGAAGTATGGTGCTGGAGAAGACTCTTGCAAGTTCCTTGCACTGCAAGGCAATCAAACCAGTCAGTCCTAGAGGAGATCAACCCTGACTGCTCTTTGGAAGGCCAGATCCTGAAGAGGAAACTGAAATACTTTGGCCACCTAATGAGAAGGAAGGACTCACTGGAGAAGAGCCTAATGCTGGGAACGTTTGAGGGCAAAAGAAGAAGGGGATGACAGAGAATGAGGTGGCTGGATGGAGTCACTGAAGCAGTAGGCATGAGCCTAAATGGACTCCAGAGGATGGTAGAGGACAGGAAGGCCTGGAGGAACGTTGTCCATAGGATCGCGATGGGTCGGACATGACTTCGCTACTAGCAACAACAACAACTTGCACATTGCTATTGCTCAATGCAATAGCAAACTCAATGCAAAGTCTGTCATGAACTCTTGGGGGAAGAAGCTGTTTAGGAGTGGGGAGGGGGGGAAGACTAACTATTCATAATAGCTACTCAAGGTCAGACAGCTGGGAATGGCATTCAGTTGCATACCGGCAAGACCCAGTGGAAGAGATCCTTTTCAGAAGAGACTGTTAACCCTGAAGTTAGCCTAACCGTGGCCATTTTGTCCTTGTAGCTTTTCTCTATGGAGATTTCTCTTCTCACTGCTTCAGGGCTGACACAGCCTGGAGCTAAGGGGCCAGGGAGTGGGGTATAGAGATAGCTGGGGTATTGTAGCCTAAATAAAATTCTTTCCCCTGGAAATCAAGGATGTTGGTGCAGGTGAGGTCGCCTAGCAACTGGACAACATGTTCATTGGACCATGTGATTCTGGGGGGGAAGTGACAAATTTTTGCTTTTAATTGAGTGTAAAACTGGTGAGAACTTAGAACCGGTTTTCCATCAAGTCTCTGGAACCAGTTACCTCCTGAGGTCCGGACCACCCCCACCCAATTGGCCTTCCCAAAAGCGGTGAAGACCTGGCTTTTCCGGTAGGCCTGGGGCCGTTGATCTCGCTGTTGCGATCGTGTGAGATCCGGCCATGAATGGTGTGAATGGGTTTTAATGTTTTATTTTTTAAATGTTTTTAAAATGGTTTTTTGAACGCATTGTAAGCAGCCCTGAGTCTTCGGAGAAAGGCGGCATATAAATTGAAATAATTAAATTAAATTAAATTAAGTCTTTGCCAATTTGATATATCCCAATAAAATGTTCTTTGAGGAATACGCCTGCCTGGGAGTTCTTATTGAATGGGATGTATTACCTGGAACCTTGACAGAGACTGGACAGCCACTTATCTCATATTGTATAAGGTCTCCTCCTTGAGCAGGGTTTTGGACTAGAAGATGACCAGCTCTATTCTGATTGATTGATTGTTTCCAAAACACTTCAATTGTATATGATTGGACAATGGGAAACCAACAGTGGGAAGTGATCCAGGGGAGGGAAGTTAAACTTAGAGATTTTGGCAGACGAACCTCAGTTCTGGCTTTGCTCTACTGTAATTCTCTTGACTTCTAATAAAACTGTACCTTTTGCAACAAATGGAAGCAAGGATCGTTTAACTTAGGAGTCGAAGCGGAGGCAGCCAACTCAGGAAACTCAGGCTGCCCAAGGAGCTGTTGATTCAGTTCTACAGAGGAATTATTGAATCTGTCATCTGCACCTCTAGAACTGTCTGGTTTGGCTCTGCAACCCAACAAGACAGACACAGACTTCAGAGGATAATTAGAACTGCAGAAAAAACAATGGCTACCAATCTGCCTTTCATTGAGGACCTGTATACAATCCAGAAAGAGGGCTGTGAAAATATCTACAGACCCCTCACATCCTGGACATAAACTGTTTTAACTTCTACCCTCAAAACAACGCTATAGGGTACTGCACAACAGAATAACTAGACACAAGGATAGTTTTTCCCCCATGCCATCACTCTGCTAAACAACTAATTCCCACAACACTGTCAAACTATCTAGAAAGGCAGCATTATTCTCATCTTCCCTATTACCTATCACCTTATCTGCTTATGACTATAACTAAATTGCTTGTATCTTACAATTTATACCGATTACTTAGTATCCTAGTATGATTTATATTGATTGTTTATTTAGTACCCATGACTATCACTAAGTGTTGTATCCAATAGTGGGTTTGAATTTCAGCCGCTCAAAATTGAACTTTTTGGTGCTCATGGGTGTGCGCGCACTCATGTGCATGCACAGAGACGTCCAGGCGTGTGAGCGGAGCCTCCCACCAGTGCCGCTACAGGTTCACCCAATCCGGGGTGAACCTGTAGCAACCCACCACTGTTTATATCTAATGTTTTATGATGAATGAATTTTTACAATGACTATGATAATGATCTATCCCTATTGTTGTATGTATACTGTGCTTATGCACTGGAGACAAATTCCTTGTGCGTCTAATAACACTTGGCCAATAAAGAATTCTAAGCAGAGGCAGTGCTGACACTTCCTTAGATACATGTCATGATTCCTTGAAATGGAAAAATCACATCAAGAGCTAACAACTGAACAGAATATTATTCTGCTTTCTTTTAGCTGACCTACGGCTCATTAGCCCAAGAGGAATTTCAGACCAGTAAGCGATCTTCACTTTATTTCATGGTCCCAAAAGAGGACCATCAGTACATTGGGATTGTCCAACTGCTTCATCACTTCAGCTGGACATGGGTTGGTATTTTTGCTGTAAATAACAACAATGGAGAAAATTTCTTACAGAAAATGGAGCCCTTACTTTCACAGAATGGCATCTGCTCATCATACATACAAAGGCTTTCACCAGTTGTCAATTTGGAACACTACCAAGAACTTTATCGTCAAATAACTAGTACTTTCCTTAATTTGATGAATAGCAAAACCAATACAATTCTTCTCTATGGAGAATCATCAATAATAATGACTCTCAAAGCTGATACTTTTCCACTAGATCCCGAAAGCAAGGAAATTGCATTGTTTAGAAAGGTGTGGATCATGACTGCACAGATTGATTTTGTATTATCAGGCCTTCAAATCACGTGGGATCTCCAGACGTTCCATGGGGCCCTTTCCTTCACTGTTCATTCAACAGCAGTTGCAGGTTTCAAGGAGTTTCTTCAGACCATAAATCCTCTTTCAGACAAAAGAGATGGGTTTCGGCAGAATGTTTGGGAACAATCATTTGATTGTTCTTTTCCAAAACCAGAATTACAAGGAATGGACAATACTCAGTGTACTGAGGAGATGAAGCTGGAGGATCTTCCTGGACCTTTCTTTGAAATGGAAATGACTGGCCAAAGCTACAGTGTCTACAATTCTGTTTATGCTGTGGCTCATGCTTTGCAAGCTCTACTCATGCCAGGGTTCAATAGGAGAAAAACTATGAAGGGTAAAAAAACTGACTTTCCAGATCTGCAAGCTTGGCAGGTATTCTCTCTGCATTGGACAGGGTTTGTTTGTCTATTTTTATTGTAAAGAGCATTTTGATGTAGAATCATGTTTCCAACCCAGTGTCGAAAGTCTTTCTATTTTATTCCTGTAGAATCAAGTTAATCTATGATCATTGAGAAGCTAATCTATGATCATTGAGAAGCTACTATATAAACCATGATTAATATTAAATCACAATTAAAGGATAATGATGTTAATAGGGTTTATGTAGGAACTCATCATGGTTTGCACAGAAAGAGAGGGTTAAAATGAAGTCACTTGATCACTTCCATTTTGGCATCTCCCAAAATAACCAATACCCAAGTTACTTCTCTTTCGCTCATGAATAGAATAGAATAGAATAGAATAGAATAGAACAGAACAGAACAGAACAGAACAGAACAGAACATAATTCTTTATTGTTCAAGTGTGATTGGACATACAAGGAATTTGTCTTTGGTGCATATGCTCTCAGTGTACATAAAAAGACAAGATACATTCATCAAGAATCATAAGGTACAAACTTAATGATAGCTATAGGGTACAAATAAGCTATCAAATCATATTAAGAAACAATCAGTATAAATTGTAAGGATTTAAGCAACAAGGTTACAGTCATACAGTCATAAGTGGAAGAAGATGGGTGATGGGAACGATGAGAAGGTTAATAGTTGAGAATAGTAGAAAAATAGAACTTTTAAGGTGGAGTAAATGAGCATTCTGTTACTATCACAACTCAAGAGGAATGTATGAGATGGACTCCTTTTCAGTTGTGTCTTCATCAAATTTGTCCGTCCCGGGTTTCAAAATAGATGGGTACCAATTAAAGAAGGAAAAGATGAGGATAAGATCAGATACTGTCTAGATTTAATTGTTTCTTTTTTTAAAAAAAAATAGTGATTTTACATCATCTTCAAGAGACTGCTTTGGTTCTTTGATGTTGCTTTTTATCATTCCCCAAAATAATATGTATTTAATAATAGAATAGATCTGTACATATACATGAGTGGTGCGGTGGCCTAGAGGTGGAGCTCTCGCCTCACAATCAGGAGGCTGTGAGTTCGATCCTAGGTAGAGGCAGATATTTCTCTCTGTCTGACCACAATGAGAATATATCTGCTGAACAAAACTCCGCATTGGTGACAGGAAGGGCATCCAGCCAGTAAACACTCAGTTCCATTCAGTTGCCCAGATTCCACCCTGCAAGGGATTATGGGACTGTTAAAAGAAGATGATGATCTGTACATATACATGCAATATTTACGATCTATTTCTAGTTTTATTCATTTGATAATTGTTACAAAAATGGGAAGAATATGTGAACAAAACCTGAATATGATGGTCTATTCTCCATTATTATCCTTTCAACTCCCTCTCTTTTTCATTCTCTGTCAATTAGCTCCATTCATTTCTTCAAGGCATTTCTTTTAACAATTCAGCCGGAGAGACAATATTCCTGAATGACAAAGGAGAAGCAATGGGTGGATTCGACATCATTAATTTCATCCCTTTTCCAAACAGATCCTTTCAGAGAGTTAGAGTTGGAAACGTAGGTCCTCATGCTCCAAAAGGGAAGGAATTATTCATTGATGAAGACAGGATTGTCTGGCATCCAGCTTTTAATCAGGTAAGGGCACATTTAATAGACTATATTGAGATCCATTATGATACCAGGAAGAAGACTTTAAACTAAGACATCATGTCTTTATAAATCTAATTTCTCTTTCTGAAATAAAAAAAAATACCTATATTCTGTAGAAATGCTGACCATGTTCCAGCATTTACCCAAATTGATAAAAGGACTGTCAGGGTTCTGATGGATGATCTAATTAAATCATGAGCCTCGAGCCAAGCTTCAAAAGTAATCGAGTTATTTATTAGGAGCTTCATGCTGGCATGTTCCAAGTAAAGCCAACTCTTTTTTTATATATAAAAGTTGTTTTTATTTTTTTTAGACAAACACACATACAAACATACAATGCATTTTCTTTGAACAGAGTGTTTGGCCGGTTCACAAGTTTAAACAATATTTTGTCATTTCAATTAAATTTACAATTTCTATATTTCCTTTTTGCCATAGGTATTCCTTACCTAATTTTTTTTAAAAAAAACCCAATAGTACCGTTCATTCTCATCTCTAATTTTAATCTTAATCAAATTCAATTTTTCGCTTCTATCTATATTATTGTCATCTATTTTTATATCTATCTTCACATTGGTTGGTTATGTAACATTACAATTGTTGAATATAAATCCAACATTTGAGTATAAATCAGTTAATTATATAACTATCTCTTTTTTGTATATTAATCAGTATGAACATAAATCTTCCAATTATTTTCATGCAATCCAATTTCTTACAAGTCAATTAGTTATATTTGCCAATAGTAATAAACCAAATAATTTCCCCTCTTATGTTACTCATTAAACTCTCCCAATAAAACAAATAGTTTTGCCCATATAATCCTCCAAATCACAATTTATTCATTTCTACAAAAATTCAAAAAAAAGAGAAAAACTTGTCATTATTTAGATTTCAAAGATACTAAATTATTAATCATTTCATTTTTACAATCGTATGGTTTCCCATTTGTTTCTTACTACTGAAAGAGAAAGATGTTATATATATTTAGTATTGAAATATGAATATTATTTATTATTAGTTTGATTTATATATACCACCGTTCCCCGGAGACTCAGGGTGCCTTACAATGCATTAAGCAATAGCCTTCATACTTTTGTATATACCTGTTTAGTAGGGCTTTTTGGACCACCCCTGAGCGGTGTTCTATTTTATACAAGGTCAGCTTATTGCCCCCACAAACTGGGTCCTCATTTTACCTACCTCGAAAGGATGGAAGGCTGAGTCAACCTTGAGAATTGAACTCTCAGTAATTGCAGGCAGCTGGCAGCTAAGTACTAATTTAACAGTGTTGTGGCTCTGTTGCCTGAGCCTGGGCTATCGACAGATGCAGACTCTGAGAGCGAGGGAGAGGAGTTGGCAAGGCCTCCCTCTCCAGGACCCTCCTCTCTGGCAATGCCTCCGGAGGACACCGAAGGCCAAGAGATAGGCCCAGAGCCAAGCACGTCCCCGCAGCCACAGGTGGACAGCGACGAAGGAGATAAGTGCTGGCTGGATCCTCGATAGTGGCGCAGGGAGAAGCGTGCGCAGCAGAGGGGAAGGCGTGCCAGAGATTAGCTGAGTCACTGGACCATACCCCACAGGGTATAAATGTGGGTGTGGTGGCCGGTTCAGTTTGTGACGAGCAAAAACTAGAAATAATCCATGATCTCTGCGTTACTGGACTTCTGCCTGCCTTGTCGGACTGCATTTGGACTAATCCTTGTATTGCTGAAACTTTGCCTGCTTTATTGGAATGCTTGCAGTCTAATCTTTGTTTTGTGTGAGTAAAGTCTGAATTGGCAGCTAGCCACTCGGTTGCTGCCAGCTTTATCTTCAAAGACTTTGTCATGTGGCTTATTAACTCCGGGCCGTCTGTGGGGGTGTGTGTGTGGGACGGGGACCGAACAAACAGCAGCAGTTTAGTCCACTGCACCATCAAAGCTCTTCCAAGTATAGTAGCAAGTGAAGCCAACTCTGACCCCACGTAAGTAACACCCCAATCAGGACCCTGTTTCCCCAATCCCTCCAGGGTGTGTCATTAATCACATTTGCCAACAGAACAATTTTGCAGGCTGTAGAGATCACTCCCCTCCAGCCACTGTTGGTAACCCTGAGAGACAGCCTTGAGAGAGATATGTCTGGAATGTACTTCTGTTTTTGGCTGCCATGCTGCTTTGTCAGTTTCCCATTCCCCTTGCCTATAGCAACTCGAGAGCAGGCCAGGGATGCTTTACGAGTTGACAAGGACATTACAGATATTTATATTTCCATATTGCATTTCCATTTGAAATCATGGGTGGGGGGGTCACATTTAATTGACTGTACCACAATCCCATATATTGAACATAGTCTCTTTTGAAATCTAATTTTGGTTTTTGACTGGAGAAAATGGCATATTTTGTACAAATGCTGTCCATGATCAAGCATTTACAATTTTAAAAAAATATTACAAGGAAAAGCCAGATTTTCATATTTGAATTTCCCCTTGAAATCACAGGAGTCACATTGTTTCCATAAGGTTCATGCCACACTAATTTATTTACTGATTCCTGTTGCACAACCTTTGTAATTTCAACATCTTTTTAAAGGATAGCATAAATCCAACTAGATAAGATTCAGTAATCCTTTTGGAAGGCAAGTATTCTTTTTTTCCACAAAGCAGGTAATTTGGAACTGTTTTAAAAACCTCCCTTTTCAAAAGCATTTATGTTTATCACCAGGTTCTTCCATTTTCTCAGTGTAATGATCATTGCTCCCCTGGATACTGGAAGAAAGATTTTGAAGGAAAACCATTCTGTTGCTACGACTGTGTTCCCTGCCCAGAAGGAAAGATTTCAAATCAGACTGGTAAATTGGATATTCCACCAAATTTTCCATTATACACAGTCCAGCAAAGTGTAACAAGCTTCATATAATTAGTAGTTTTATGAGTCCTTCAGGGCCGGGATGAAATCCAATTTTATTCCTTACCGGTTCTGTGGGTGTGGCTTGTTGGGTGTGGCAGGGGAAGGATACTGCAAAGTCTCCATTCCCTCCCCTCCTGGGGGAAGGATGTTGCAAAATCTCCATTCCCACCCTACTCTGGGCCCAGCCAGAGGTGGTATTTGCTGGTTCTCCGAACTACTCAAAATTTCCGCTACCAGTTCTCCAGAACTTGTTAGAACTTGCTGGATTTCACCCCTGCTTCAAGGTGAACTATCATTTCTTTACCTGTGCATCACAATCTGTTGTTTAAGAAACATTGCCCATAAAATTCTGCCAGATACTCTTTCCTTTAAATGTAAATGTGTTTGTATGTGTTTGTGTGTATGTATGCCTGTATGTGTGTACATACACATACACACACATATCCATTGAGCGATAGATTTTATATCTATAATTATTGTTAAGAAATAACCCTTGAGTAGCAAGGGTGTGCACATGAAAGTGGTTGAGAGTAGTTATGAATAAGCACAGTCACCACACAGATACACTGAGTTGTGTTATAGTTTACACAGTCCAATAAATAAAGTCTTCATACCAGTTGTATTAATCATACACAGTAAACAGTTCTTCTAGAGTTGCAAACAGTAAGACAGTAAGTTAGATAGAGATATCAGAGAACAAGCTCCTGTTTCTAGCTCCCTCTTAAGGACATTGGCAATAGAGTTAACCAATCTGTACATAGTATGGTGCAATACAGCAGTCTTAAAGCTATGCAATACAATACAATATAATGCAAACATACATTGATGGTTTATATATTGCTAACCCAACAAGTTAGTTAATAATCATATTCCTAGCCATTATGTATTTACTTTTCACATGGTCAACCTTATTTGCATTATCCCAAAGGTGGTTTTCCAAAAGGCAATTGGACTTTCTTTATTTTTTCGTGAAGATGTTTTGCTTCTCATCCAAGAAGCCTCTTTAGTTTGTTGTAAACTGTTGTAAACAGAACTGAAGAAGCTTCTTGGATAAGAAGCAAAACCTCTTCAAGGAAAAAGAAAGGAAAAGTTCAGTTCACTTTTTAAAAAACCACCTGGGACAACCATGAACTGGGAATCTCCGTAGACACTCCTTTGCGTTAGTTGTTCATTTCGTCAAAGTTCTTCACTCAGCAAACAAATTATCATGATTTTTATAAATTCGGGATATATTAAGCACTTTTTAAAAAGTATCTTGGTGTTACCTGACTTACATTATCATCTGTATTAATATGTGGAGACTCAAGAAAGAATGCAGAGAAGAGCAACAAAGATGATTAGGGGACTGGAGGCTAAAACATATGCAGGAACTGGGTATGTCTAGTTTAATGAAAAGAAGGACTAGGGGAGACATGATAGCAGCCTTCCAATATCTCAGGGGCTGCCACAAAGAAGAGGGAGTCAAACTATTATGCAAAGCACCTGAGGGTAAGACAGAAACAATGGGTGGAAACTAATCAAGGAGAGAAGCAACTTAGAACTAAGGAGAAATTTCCTGACAGTTAGAACAATTCATCAGTGGAACAACTTGCCTCCAGAAGTTGTGAATGCTCAAACACTGGAAGTTTTTAAGAAGATATTGAATAACCATTTGTCTGAAGTGCTGTATGGTTTCCTGCCTAAGCAGGGGGTTGGACTGGAAGACCTCCAAGGCCCCTATTCAGGTTATTCTATTCTATTCTATTCTATTCTATTCTATTCTATTCTATTCTATTCTATTCTATTCTATTCTATTCTATTCTAATCTATTCTATCTTCATCACCTGTGATGAAATATAACCCTTTTAAGTCCAAGTAAGCATATTTACTATTTGAGTGGGAGATCCAGCAGCCATTTAAAATGTGGTGGAGTAGATTGGGCATTAATTTTTTTTTTTTTAATTTGATTTATATGCCGCCCTTCTCCGGAGACTCAGGGCGGCTTACAATGTGCTCAGCAATAGCCTTCATCCTTTTGTATATTTATACAAAGTCAGCTTATTGCCCCCACAAACTGGGTCCTAATTTCACCTACCTTAGAAAGGATGGAAGACTGAGTCAACCTTGAGCCTTGGCGAGATTCGAACCCTGAAGTAATTGCAGGCAGCTGGTCTTAATAAGCTTAATAACAGGGTGCCTTAAACCCCTGTAGTACCAAGGCTCTTTAGAACATAGAATGACAGAGTTGGAAGGGATGAACTTTCCCAGTCCAACCCTTGCTTGAGCAGGAAGCCCGATATCATTTATGACAAGTGGGTGTACAGCCTCTTCCTAAAATCCTCCAGTGATACAGTAGAGCACCAGAGGTGGGATTCAGCCGGTTCGCACCGGTTCAGACGAACCGGTAGCAGCGAATGCAGGTGGACCCACCTACCCGCCCACCTGCCTCAACTCAATATCGGGCTATTTAGGCATGTGCAGAAGGTGTATGAGTGAGCAAAGTGCATGCCCAAAAGGCCAGGCGCATGTGCGGACAGCACGGGCATGCAAAACGAGCAGGTGGGAGGGTGATACACCAGTGGTAATGGTAAGTGAAACCCACCCCTGTAGAGCACTCACAACTTTAATTATGGGGAAAGGTCGGATTGTCTATAATAAAATACATTTAAAAATTCTTGAAACAACTGAACTTGAAAGAATAAGTACCATTCCCACTGAATTTCCATTGATGACAATGCTAAATGAAACAATGAAAAAAAAAATCCTGCATATTGATAGAAACATGAGTGGAAACAATTCAAAATGAATAATACCCACTCAGAAACTATTTTTCAATAAGTTGGAATGCCTAGATGACAAATTTCCTTGATTTTTCTTCCCAGATATGGATGACTGTCTTGAGTGTTCAGAAGATCATTATCCAAATGAAGAAAAGAATGGATGTATCCTGAAACCAATAGTGTTTTTAACCTTTGAAGAAACTTTAGGAATTGGTTTAGCCTCAGCAGCTCTTTGTTTCTTCTTCTTGACATCTTGGGTACTTGGAACTTTTATTAAGCACAGGGATACTCCCATTGTCAAAGCCAACAATCGGTCACTCACCTACACCCTCCTTGTCTCTCTTCAAATATGTTTTCTCTCCTCTTTGCTCTTCCTCAGCCAACCTGGCAAACTGACCTGCCTTCTCCGACAATCAACATTTGGTATCACCTTCTCAGTGGCCATTTCTAGTGTCCTGGCCAAAACCATCACCGTGGTTGTTGCCTTCATGGCCACTAAACCAGGATCTCAGATGAGGAAATGGGTGGGGAAAAGATTGGCTCTTTCTACTGTCCTTTCCTGCTCTCTCTTCCAGGTATGTATTTGTATCCTTTGGTTGTCAACATCACCTCCATTCCCTGAGTTGGACAAGCACTCAGCGCTCCAAGAAATGATTTTACAATGCAATGAGGGGTCATCTTTCTTCTTTTATTGTGTCTTGGGCTACATGGGAATGTTGGCCATCGCCAGCTTTATTGTGGCTTTCCTTGCCCGTAAATTACCTGATAGTTTTAATGAAGCCAAGTTCATCACCTTCAGCATGTTGGCCTTTTGCAGTGTGTGGATCTCCTTCTTTCCAGCCTATCTGAGCACAAAAGGCAAAGCCATGGTAGCTGTGGAGGTCTTCTCCATCTTGTCCTCCAGTGCTGCATTACTGGGATGCATATTTTTGCCAAAATGCTACATCATTATTTTGCGGCCACAGCTCAACCACAGGGAGCAACTCATAAAGAAGAATTAGCATATTGTGTGATATTTTTGGTTCAGAGAAATTCCTGAAAAAAAGGAATAGAAAGACAGTTTGCTATTCTCAGGAAATATATAATTAAAGAACAATTTATGTAGAATATTTTTGATTATTAAGATATATTATTGCTCATTTCAAAATAAATGCTCATTTTCCTGCAATTTCACTAGATTCCAAGATTCTTCAACCTAATCCTTTGTCCCTTTCAACACACCTGTTGAATTTCACTATCATAATGTAACTTTTTTGGTTGCTATTAGTGTATTTCAGTTATTGTCTTAAACTATGTCCAAAGTTTGCAGAGACATTTTCATGGTTTTTCATACTTTCAATCTGCTTTCAATCAGCCCTTTATGGTACTCTCGTCCGGCTCGAATTCTTCGGCAGAGACTAAACACTTACAGGTATCATAAAACACAGGAAGCACCTCATAAAGAGGAATTAGCATTCCATGTGTTTTTTCTCACTAGAAAAAACTGCTAGTAAAAATGAATAGCAATAGCAATAGCACTCAGACTTACTGTATATACTGCTTGACAGTGCTTTACAACCCTCTCTAAGCGGTTTACAGAGTCAGCATACTGCCCCCATCAATCTGGGTCCTCATTTTACCCACTTCGGAAGGATGGAAGGCTGAGTCAGCCTTGAGCCTGGTGAGATTTGAACTGCCAAACTGCAGGCAGCCGGCAGGCAGCAGAAGTAGCCTGCAATACTGCACTCTAACCACTGCACCACCATGGCTCAATTAGAATAGAAAGTCCCAGTGATAATTACTTAAGGATCTCATTTAAATAATATGTTACCACATTTTAATAAAATGGAAAAATGAATTGAAGTACCTACTGAAGTAGCTAGAGCTATTTTCTGTTGCTGATCAATTGAACTTAGAGCATACAAAACATTTGCTAGACCAATTCTCGAATACAGCTCATCTGTCTGGAACCCAACTGCATACTGAACATTAGTACAATTGAGAGAGTCCAGAGATATTTCACGAGAAGAGTCCTCCACTCCTCTGTTCACAACAGAATACCTTATGCCATCAGACTCCAAATTTTGGGCTTAGACAATTTAGAACTACAACGCCTTTGGTCTGACCTAAGCATGGTACATAAAATTATCTGCTACAATGTCCTACCTGTCAATAACTACTTCAGCTTCAACCACAACAATACACAATCACACAATAGATACAAACTTAAGGTAAACCGTTCCAAACTCGATTGCAGAAAATACGACTTCAATAACAGAATGGTCAATGCCTGGAATGCACTGCCTGACTCTGTAGTTTCTTCCCCAAACCCCCATAACTCTAACCTTAGACTGTCTACTGTGGACCTCACCCCATTCCCAAGAGGGCATCCATAAGCACACCACCGTTCCTACCGTCCCTGTCCTATTGTCTCCTTTTATTCGTATCCATTTCATGTATTTTATTCATATCCATTCCATGTATTCATAATTATGTTTATACTTATACCTGCTTGACAAAATGAATAAAATAAAATATGTGAAAATTTCACCTGTTCAAAAATTGATTTAAGTTGAATTTCAGGGAATGAACCTGATATTTGGGAGCCTTGCAATCAAGTGTGTTCCTTTCATTGGGGTCTCTCTATAATTCAAATTCAATTTTCTAAATGGATATAGGTTTATGCATAGGCTTCTACTGTGGGAAGTAAGAAAGAGTTTTAAAAAAATTCATATCATGTATTTCTGATCTAAATCTTAGAGTTGGGTTGGAAGTGATATTAAAGATAAAGCAGTCCAACTCCCTCTAGCTCATCTCAGACTGCTATTATACCTGTGTCCCACCTCAGCTACTTTTCTTTGCACTCCCATTTTTCATTTCTTTTGATTTTTGATTTAAGGACATTGTGATCCAAACTATACCCCTCCCTTTTTTTAAAAAGCATTTTTTCTACAACCTCCTTGCCTGAAGAAGTTGTAGAAAAAAAATGTTTTTAAAAGCCTCTGACGATCAGGCAACTCAGCTGGGATCGTCAGAGCTTTTTAAAAGCATTTTTTTTACAACCTCTGCGGCCGAAGAGGTTGTAGAAAAAATGCTTTTAAAAGTTTTAAAAAAAAGGTGGCCACGCCCACCCAGTCACATTAACACCCCCCCCACCAAGCCACGCCCACAGAACTGGTAGTAACAATTTTTACATTTCACCACTGAGCTACACAAAAGCATGTCATTCCCATGCCATTAAAGACTATGCATGTTGCTTATGTCTTATTAAAATTCACATGAATAATCAGTCTTAATTCATTCTAGTGGAGCTGGTTGGATTTTTGTAGAGTTGGTTTTGTTATCTTCACCTTAGGCTGAATTTTAGTGGCTGAGTTCACTGTTTTGATGTTCAAACAGTTAGTTAGAATAGAGCTAGAAGGGATCTTTTCGGTCTTCTAGTCCAACCCCTTGCTCAATCAGGAGACCCTGTCCAATTTGAGACAAGTGGCTGTCCAGCCTCTTCTTAAAAACCTCCAGTGATGAAGTACCACAACTATTCCAACTGGTTAATTGTTCCCACTGTTAAGAAGTTTCTCCTTAATTCCAGGTTGCTTCTCTTCTTGATTAATTTCCATCCATTGTTTCTTGCCTTGCCTTGCTTTGCCAACTCCTCCTCCTCCTCCTCCTCCTCCTCCTCCTCCTCCTCCTCCTCCTCCTCCTCCTCCTCCTTCTGTAATTGGATACTCATATTCATAGCGATTTTGTTGACCAAATCTCCAGTTTCACACAGACTATTTGAGGACAATGTAGAGATTCAACATGAAGGCCTGCTTTAAAAGGACTAATTTCACGATGATATTTGCATAGGCCCAGCGAGCTATAAAGTAACTCATAGAAAGCAAGGTTCAATTGCTTTCTGTTCTTTAACAGAGTCCAGGGAAAGTCTTCCTTCCTTCCTTCCTTCCTTCCTTCCTTCCTTCCTTCCTTCCTTCCTTCCTTCCTTCCTTCTTTTTCATGTCGCAATCCACAATCCAACCCGAATGCCTGTAGGAAAAGTGATACTTTCCCAGCCTTATGTCACCCATTCAGTTCTTTCAGCAAACATCTCCATACTTATTATCTTCTATTATAAAGTGTTTTGGAAAGGGCTTGGTTCATTTTGAGTCCATAATCATACATTTTAAAGAACAGTAGTTGAAGCACAGTGGCTCAAGTGGTTGGAATGCTGAGCAGGAGTTTAGCAAGAGTTTAGCAGATTAACAGAGTTGGGAGGAATCTTGTAGGTCATCTTGTCCAACCCTTGCTTTGACTCGAGTGCAAAAAGAAGAATAAGGATCAGAAGGGAAGGCTTCTTTCATTTCTGGACTTCCTTTCTCTGGCTTCTGTTGTTTCAGTAGCTACTCACAAAATAGAGCTAATCTAGGAACGCAGGTGGGAAGTTCCGCTTCCTGGTATTTGGTTCTCTTGCATTTTCATATGACTAATTTCCTCAGATCTCCCATATGTCATACTTATCTAATCATTGTGTCACCCTACTAATAACATTCTTGACTTATGTGTAGTAGTAGTGAAATTGCCTCTGGCCTAATATCCAAAATTGAGTGAAGGGACAGAGATTTCAAAGAAAAGATAGCAATAGCAATAGCACTTAGACTTAATACCACTTCACATTGGTTTATAGCCCTCTCTAAGAAGTTTATAGAGTCAGCATACTGGCCCCAACAATCTGGGTCCTTATTTTACTGATCTTGGAACTATGGAAGGGTGAGTCAACCTTGAGCCAATAAGAATCGAACTGCTGACAGTTGGCAGAATTAGCCTGCAATACTGCATTCTAACCACTGCACCACTACAACTCTTACAAAGACCTGAGGAAGTACTAGAAATCACTGTTCTTCAATGCTGTAACCAGTTCAACCTCTTGGCCACTAAAGCCCATCAATATATTCCCTCTACCACTGTTCCCATCATCTGTTTGAGCTCTGTTTGACCATGTTCTCTCATCTTGAGTAAATAGTTGAAATGAAAAGCAATTGAGAATTTTCGTTTAGGGGGCTGCTAGGAAAAAAAGGGGACGTGGTGGCTCAGCTGAGCTTGTCTATCGAAAGGTCGGCAGTTCAGCAGTTTGAATCCCTAGTGCTGGGTAACAGGGTAAGCCCCCGTTACTTGTCCCAGCTTCTACCAATCTAGCAGTTTGAAAGTACATAAAAAATGCAAGTAGAAAAATAGGGACCACCTTTGGTGGGAAGCTAACAGCGTTCCATGCGCCTTTGGCATTTAATCATGCCAGGCACATGACCACAGAGATGTCTTTGGACAGGGCTGGCTCTTCGGCTTTGAAATGGAGATGAGCACCGCCTCCTAGAGTCAGGAAGTAGAGTAGCACATATGTGCAAAGGAAACCTTCACCTAGGAAAAAAGAGAATGGGAAGAAATGGAGAAAACAAAATTAAAGTCCAGCCAAATTGGACCAAAAAGAGATGAATGGTTGCGGTAAAGGTTGAAAAAAGATGTGGAGACTCTAAAAAGAGTGCAGAGAACAGCAACAAAGATGATTAGGGGACTGGAGATTAAAACATATGAAGAAAAGTTACAGAAACTGGTCATGGCTAGTCTAGTGAAGAGAAGGTCTAGGGAAGACATGAACTGGGTTGTTGTTGTTAGTTGTGAAGTCGTGTCTGACCCAGTGCAATCCCATGCACAACATTCCTCCACTATCATCTGGAGTCCATTTAAACTCACACCGACTGCTTCAGTAACTCCATCCAGCCACCTCATTCTCTGTCATCCCCTTCTTTTTTTGCCCTCAATCTTTCCCAGCATTAGGCTCTTCTCCAGTGAGTTCTTCCTTCTCATTAGGTATTTGAGTTTCATCTTCAGGATCTGGCCTTCTAAAGAGCAGTCAGGGTTGATCTCCTTTAGGACTGACCGGTTTCATCACCTTGCAGTCCAAGGGACTCACAGGAGTCTTCTCCAGCACCATAGTTCAAAGGCCTCAATTCTTTGGCACTGTTAGGTGTTTTGTGTCAGCCATGGCAGTTTCTTAAAAGGCCACCAGATGGGAGCAAAGAGGCACCTTTGATCCCACTGGTGGGTCAAGGGGCTCCAGCCCCTGCAGCCCCATTGGGGAGAGTTATTGGCCCTCCAGCCCCCTCACACACCTTGGTAAGGGAGGGGCCAAGGGCCCCTATAAGAACCCCTGCACA